GGTTCTAAATGCTGCTGTTTACTTTACAGGGTTGATTACATGTGTTTATGACTGTGATGTTGGGTTTTAATGCACATAAAATATTTTAGGACACTATTTGTTTCAGAATCTTTTTTTCTTCATTTCCCTTCTCTAAAAACTGGTGCGTCTTATGGTCCGGAGCGTCTTATGGTCCGAAAAATACGGTAGTCTCCTTGGCTTACATTATGTACAATTATGCAAGATGATCTGAAAATTAACTAATGCATTTAAAAAACACACACACACACACAAAAAAAACACACACCCTGAGGTCCTGATGATAATATTGGGTTTCCAAGGTTGGTTCCATACACCAGAAATGTAAGCATGGCTATCTGGTATTTATCAGGCATATGGAACCAGCAATTACTGACTGTGTGGTCTTGGATTAGTAACTTACCTTTCTCTTTAATTTTACTCACTTGGAAAACCATGAAACCTCACCCTTTTGGTAAGAATTAGAAATGTGGAGTGTCTATGAAAATTTCTGGCACAGAATAGCTGCTCAGCAGAGCACAGTAGGCATTTGAGAATGACAGAGATACGACCTTGGGCTCTGGATCCAGGCTGCCTGGATTTCAATCTTGGCTCTACTCTTCCTTCAGCGGTGTGAAGTTGGGCATGTAACTTTACCTCTCTGGATCTCAGTTTCCTAATCATTCAAGAGGGGATGACAGCAGTGCCTACATCATAGGTTTATTGGGAAGAAAAAGAAAAGAGTTAATACATGTAAAGAGCTTTTGAACATTTGTTAATATGTAAGACTTAATAAAGGTTATTATTTTAATGGCTATTCCTTTTAGCATTCAGAGACACTGGCATCTTTTTGAAGTGGTATATTAACATCAGAGAACGACATCTTCCATTATGTATAAAACATTCATCAGCACTGTCACACTGGCTGTTGTCAGCAGATTTCCTGTGAGAACTGGCTTTGTAACCAGCTCTCTCTTGATAAGTCCTCAGAGGCTTCTGTAGGAATTACTTTATGTTCATTTTCTCTGCTTTGCTATAAATGAGTAATTCTTCGTTCTTGATTTCCCTCTCTAAGCATTTATGAATTCCCTAAAGAACATGGGGAGGAAGAATTATTTGGAGCAAATCGGGAAAGCACTGTGGAGTTACTAGAACGCCTCTCCGTAACCCCCGTCACTTACCTACAGCATAATTATAGGATGCTGATTTTTTCTGCAGCTGAAGCTCTGGGTACCCATTTTTAGCCTCAGTAAGTCTCTTTATTGGCGATTTGGCTACTGCTCTTTCCCCTTAATCCATAGTGACAACATGCTACATACAGGGCACATAAAAGGGTAAAAAGGAGGCTCTCCACATCCAAGGAGTACAAACAAGGAGTAGTCAAAGATATTGTGAACTCACGAATTATAACAAGAATCCAACGGTGATAACCACTATTAGGGTAACACAGAGGGAAGGGGATTCTAATTACCAGCTTGGGGAGAGGTTTAAAAAGAGGCAGCATTCACAATAAACCCTGAAGAATGGCAGAGGAGGAGAGGAAACAATAGGAGCACAGAGAACAAGATGAGTGAAGGCACAGGAATGTGAAGATACATGGCTTATTCAGGGAACAGCAGATGGTCCTGTGTAGATGGAGCAGAAGATATGTAGGCTGGGGGTGAGGAGATGAGGAACAAAGGTCTCTGGGTACTCAGGGAGTCCGCTCATCTAGATCTTAGGTTCTGGAAATGGGGGGTGGGGGACTTCTCTGACAACTTCCTCAGAGTCACCTCCCTCTTCCTTCAGTCTTTTCTTGGCCTCAGCCCACACACCCCTTTTACCTCTGCACTTTAAAAGTCCTGTTCTCTTATTTTTTCCCAAAGAACTCCGCTGGTATGGCATTTTCTAACTTGTCACCTACTACAAAACATATGGAAGACAAAATGGCATGAGAATTTGTACAAAACATTGGCCCCTAGGGGTAAAAATCTGAGCCTAACTCGTAGGAACAGGCCCGGTAGCCTGGCTAGACTCTGGGGGCGGAAGAGGAGGATACAAAAGAGATAACAATGAAGTAAGAAAGCTATGTTTGACACATAGTTGGTGCTCAATCAATATTTGTTCAATAAAGTTTCCTCCTAAAAAACACTTCCTGTACGGAACACAGGAAGGAAGGGGAGGAGTGACCTGTATATTCTGGCTCTCCCTGCATTTGTGCCAAGCCCAGGTTTCTTTTGGAGTCAGCAGTTCTTTGGTAAGTTTCTCTTTCAGGGAAGAAAGGGGTGTGTGTGTGTGTGTGTGTGTGTGTGTGTGTGTGTGTGACACACAAACGCAAAGTGACCCCGTACTTATTCCTTTCCAGTCTTTCCAAGACTAAAAGATATCTCAGGTTACAAGTTCATTCCTTTACCAGAAGGTAAATCAGGACGGGGGAGATAACCAGGACATAAAAGTTAAAAAATGTCAGGAAAAGCTCAGTTTCACATATATGCCTTTGGCACTTAGAAAAAGAAGACTTGGTTCTAATCTCAAAGAGCTCTTAGTGTGGAGACACATAAAGCCACGCAGATATTTAATGCGGGGACATGGTGTTATAACAGAGGTCAGTCCCTGGAGCTCAGAGGAGGGGCTTTCAACCCAGCCCAGGGCCTCGCTACTCCAAGTATGGTTGCCTACCAGCAGCAGCATCTCCCAGAAACTTGTGAGAAATGCAGACTCTCTGGCTCTATCCCAGACTGGCTGAATGTGAACCTGGGTTTTAACGAGATCCCTAGGTGAGTCATATGCACATTAACATTGAGAAGTACTGGCCTAGGAGGTGGGGATGAGACGGGGAAATATTGCTTAGAAGAAGTAAATCCTGAGTTGTGTTTTGAAGAGGTGTACGGTCACCCAGGCAGTGTTCCAAACAGAGGGAACAACATAAGTAAAAGTTCAGCGGTGAGAAAAAGTACAGGGTTTGGGAACTGCCAAGTAGTTTACCTCCTCCTCCTCCTCCTTCTTCTTTTTATTTTATTTTTTAATATATATTTTATTGATTTTTTACAGAGAGGAAGAGAGAGGGATAGAGAGTTAGAAACATCGAGCAGCTGCCTCTTGCACACCCCCTACTGGGGATGTACCCGCAACCAGGGTACATGCCCCTGACCAGAATCAAACCTGGGTCTCCTCAGTCCGCAGGCCAACGCTCTAGCCACTGAGCCAAACCAGTTTCGGCTAGTTTACCTTCTAGATCCAACTGGAGAGTATGGGAGAGAGGGGGAGGGAGAAATATAGGAAGATGGCAGGTCAGGCAGTGGCCAGATCCTGCTGGGTGTGGTCTAGGTTAACAAGCTTTGTCTCCACCTAATCCATGGCAGAGACACATGTGCGCTCAGATTTGCATTTAGATCACTGCAGCCCCGAGGAGCCTGAGAATGTAAAGGTCAAAGGACGGAGAAGTTAATTAGGCAGCTGCAGCAATAGTTCTGGGGAGAAATGAGAGTCTAACTCAGGTAGTGGCAGTGGGGATGGAGAGAGGAGCGAGCAAGTTTAAGACATTTTATGAAGCAATAAGCAGATGAAAGACCTCAGTGTTGATGGGAGGGTGTGGGAGGGCTGAGTCTTGACTAGATGAGTTGCAGGCTTCTTTCTGGCTGGGATTAGTGGGTGGTTGCTCAAGATGCCACTAACAATGGAAGAGTAAAGGAGGATGAGCAGGTTTGAAGAGGGAAATTAGGTGTTCAGCTTAGGTGAATAGAAAACAGGTATAGGAGGGGGGAAAAAAAGAGAAGGAAACAAGGAAGGGGTGGAGAGCTCAGTGAATAAATCAGGGTGCAAGAGGAAAGTGATACACAATGTCCTGCCCATATTTGGGGCTACAGTAGTACACACAGTTGGTGAGTTTTTCCTCCAGTCCTATTTCCAGAGACTGCCTTCTTGGAACTTGGTCCCAGCGACTGGTTGGACACGGATGAAGAGCAAATGGTTTGATTCATGGTTTCCTATCCGGTGACCAATTCATGTTGACACTATTTGCTCAATGCAAAAAATAAAAATAAAATTTTAACCTGGAGTTCAAGCTGCTCATGGTCAGAATGATCAAACAACTGTGCCTTTCCATATTGCCCTATGGATGAAAAACTGCCCACTGCTTCTAATACTATTTGCAAGGTGGCGGTAACGCAATGCCAATATTTGAGTGTGTTTGCATGTGGTTATCCTTCAAGTTCTGGACACCATCGTCACAAATCTTCCCTGTCTGTGAACTTGCATACTTTCATTTTGCACCTTAAAATTCAGAACTTGAGCCCTTGTTGGTTTGGCTCAGCCCGCAGACTGAAGGGTTCCAGGTTCGATTCCAGCCAAGGGCACATGCCTGGGTTGAGGGCTCCATCCCCAGTAGGGGGTGTGCAGGGGCATCTCTCATGATTGATGTTTCTCAACATCTCTCATCATTGATGTTCCTATCTCTCTATCGCTCTCCCTTCCTCTCTAAAATCAATAAAATATATATTTAAAAAAATTCAGAACTTGATAACAGCCCGTCTTCAATCATTTCCATAATTGTTCTCTATTTAGCAACCTGTTCTCTGCATACAGAGTTCTCTAAAAGACAGTCTTGGACTTACGTGTCTTCAGGGCAGAAACTCCAAGTACTTCAACATTTTCTGATCAGCCAATAAAAAGCAAAAGGTCGGCACGTGGTTTATTAGTTTGGGCAGGAGGAAGGTGTTCCAACCAGATCCTTTCTTTCTTGCCAGGATCAAACATGGCGGGCCCCCAGCCCTACCTTCCCGAACACCTAGCCCGCTTTCCCGTGACTCCAATCAGGCTTCAGAGCTCCTGCTTTTTTTCCCTCTCTCTCTCTCTCTCTCTCTCTTTTTTTTTTTAACCTATCCTCCTCCTTGCGGCTCCGTGAGGGTCAGCACCTGGGAGCTTGACAGCAGACCTGCTTCCCGCCCCCACTCGCGGTCCCGCCCACTAGCCCGCGCCAACCAATCGTAGGCCGCACACGGGCGACTGGCAGCCCGGCTGGCCCCGCCCCCAACCTCGCTGTGGCCTGCGGCTCCCGGGCCGGTAGCGTCGCTGTCGGTCGCGCGCGGGCGGCTTGTGTGGGAACGCGGGTCCCCGACGCTGGTTGCCGGCCGCAGCTCCGAGCTCAGCGCCGCCAGGCCGGTCGGCCCGGAGCCCCCGCCATGGACTTCGAGGACGGTGAGCGCCGTCCCTGGCTGGCGGCCGCGGCGGGCGGGAGGCGGGTGGCCTGCGCTGGGGGTCTGTTTACCGTCTCAAGATGGCCGTGTGGGCTTTGTTCTGCGGGCCCGAGGCCGCCCGCCCGCCCGCCGCCCGCCGCCGCGGGCCCAGTGCCCGGGGGCGGCCCCTGGGGGACCCGCGCGCCCCGAGTCTTCCCCCTCCCCGCGCCCGTTGTCCCCGGGGCCCTGGGAGTTCCGCGCGGGCCTGGGCGGGGACGGGCGCGCCCCGAGCGCCTCGGCCTCCGGCCCGGCCCGGCCCGGCCCCGCGGCGTGGAGGTTGCCCCGACGCCTCCGACTTCCCGGTCCCGGTCCCGGTCGCGGTCCCAGGCGGGCGGGGCCGCCCCACCGCCGGCCTGTCCTCGCCCCCAGGGCAGCCACCCGTTTGGGTAAACCCTCAGCCACGGGTACAGATGTCAGGGGCTTGTAGTGCACAGTGAGAGCCCTGGGCGTCTTAGTTGGAGATGAGTTTAAAGGGCGTCTCCAAGGGATACGGATAGGTAGGTAGACATCTTCCCAGAACGGGGAGGAAGGCGTTTGTGGCCGGCAGACGGGAATAGCGGACTCGGCGCACACACCTGGCCGTCCATCCCCCACGTGAGACAGCGCTGGACCGGAGCGTGTGTGTCTGGGTCTGTGCGGCTGGGACCCAAGTGAGGATCCGGCACAGCCTTCCGTGCCCTTCGGACTCAGACCTCAGCCCTGCCCACCGCCGCCCGGGCTGGACCTGGTGCTTACAATGAGCCGAATTTTAGCAGCACCTCCCAGTCCATGCTCACACCCTCCCCAAGTCAGGCATTGGGGTCTTCACCCTGCCTTTGAATCTTGCCCAACTTTGATATAGGAAATGATGTGAAGATAAAAATGAGTGTGTAATGACAGCATCAGGGAGTCGTGAAAAGGGGCTTGAATGATTCAACTGGATTTCATCCTGAGTAATCAGGCAGTTCTGAATAAAACCAGCTCACTAAACAAACTAGTTGTAAGCCTCTAACCCAACAACAACAACAACAACAAAAGGGTCTTTAATATTGAACGTGGCGTGATCTCAGCATTTGAGTCATAATAAATGATCTTTTAATCTTTGATACCAGGCCACAGAGTGTTCTGCCAAGTTTAAGTATATAAAAAAGTGGGCTGGTATGACCCCTTTGTGGATACTTTTAAGTTACTTTGTAGTAGGAAGGTCACCTATTAGCACACTGGTGTTTTTGTTTTCGGTGGACTTTGACTCATTTTGATACAGATACTTTTAAACAGCGTATGAGTAGTTGAAGTGCTAGTAGTTGGGAATTAAATTTAAAAATGTATTCTAGTATGTTTTCATGTCAGAGTTGGATGACTGCCAATACCCAAGGTACAGCAGAAGCTACTAAGGTGAAGAGTTAGGGAACAATGAGAGTGGTCCACTCCCCAAATAAGGGAACCCATTTTCTGTAGAGAACTGAAAAACAATATTAAAACAGTGTATTTGCTTCTTAAGATTACCGTGCACCTACAATTCTAAGTAGTGTCAGTGATAATACTCCCTCTATCATGCCCCCTCGTCACACCATCACTATATTTAGGGGATGGTGTTTGACTGACAGAATAACTGAATCTAATCCTGTGTAGTGTTCCTGGTTTCTGTTGTATCCAAAATGACCATTTCAGTATTTATTAGTAAAATTAACCAAAGGATTTAATGGTTGCTAAGTTAGTTTTGATAGGGAAATTACGAGTATGATTTTGGGTTATATAGCCACACACACATGCATATGCATTTTTCAAATAAAATTCTGAAATCTTTAGAGAGCAAATTAAGTGATAAAAGAAATAGTAACTTTGAATAATTGCACACTTAATAGAATCAATTCTCAGATGTCCCTTGTGTTTGCATTATTTGATACATAATTTAATTTATGTATTGATACATAATTTAATTTATCTGCCTGCCCTTTTGTTACCCTGCATAAATCAGTATTGGATCCTATCTTTTGGCTGTTTTTATGTAGTAGGTGTTATAAACTAATTTTTACATTACCATACTTTGAATGATAAATTTCTGCTGTTTGGTGAGATAATGCAGAGAGAGAGGTATGTTTTCCCATATGAAATATTAATGATTATTTATACCCCATTTGTGCAGATAATTAAGTTAATGACATTTCAAAAATTGTGTTTCCTTTAAATAGATGGGTTTATAATGTAAGATTTTTTTTTTTTGCTAATATTGCACTAATTTCTTTCTGTTAATATGTTTTCATAGATTACACACACTCCGCTTGCAGGAATACTTATCAGGGTTTTAATGGTGAGTATCTATTTTCCTTTGCAGTTAAATATGTTAGGGGATACATTTCAGTTTTTCTCTTCATGCACATAAAGTACTGATGTAAAAAGCCAGTTTTACCTTGTTTTAATTTGTCTTTTTTGCCTCTTGATATATCACTTGTTAGGATTAATGTTATACTATAGTTAGTACTTGAATTAGGGAATTTGGGATCAGGAAAAGTTAGGGCTATTCAGATTAGCTTGACTCTTTTATTTGAGTAATGATTGCTTTAATTATTTCAAAAGGCTCTGAGTGCATTTTGAGTGATAAGTTACAAGAAACTGGCTGAGATATTTTTGTTGAATTAGAGGCTTTGGTATTGAGTAATATAGATTAAATGGATTATTGGCTTACTTCTGTATTGCTTCTATTTGACCTTGTGTTTTGAGGTCATTTGCTTTATTATATTCAAATATGTTAGTGTTTAAAGAGCTGTTTAGAGGAGAACATGAAGAAGCTTGATTATGTATTAACATAAGCATGATGTTGGTGTTGTGACTACAGAGTTAGGTAAAATCTAGAGAGTTATGCAGAATATAATTGAATGTCATTTTGATAGTTATTAAGCGGAATGATATCACACAAAAAGGAACATGGAACAAATTAAAGAGATTAAAAAATATGTTTTTATTGATTTTAGAGAGAGAGGAAGGGAGAGTGAGAGATAGCAACATCAATATAAGAGAGAAACATCCATTAGTTGCTTCCTCCACGCATCCTGACTGGGGATTGCGCCTGTAACCCAGACGTGCCCTGACCAGGAATAGAACCGGCAACCTTTCGGTGCACAGGGTGATGCTCAGCAACTGAGCCATACAGGCCAGGCCACAAATCAAATATATTTTAAAAAGCATTGCAAGAAGGACTCCACGTAGTGGAATTAAAATTCTGATTGCCAGAGAAATGCAAAATTCAATTGTACAAAATATAATAGATTCACAAAATAAAACTGAAGCAAATGTACTACTAAATAAAGAAATGATTCCATTTTATGGGGATACTTACAGTCAGTTAATTTTAATTTATCATCTCTAAGAATTTAGAGAAACTTTGGGTTTGATGTGGCCTAATAAGGCTTAATATATAGGAAGTATTCAATATGCAGGATTGGCAGAAGTTCATTCTTGTATTATTTATTGTTTAATTTGCATGCATATGTAAGTTAGATTGAAAATTGGAAAATTAGCTAGAAAACCATTACATAAATTTAGGTATAAGAATTTTAAGACCTTGAACTTAGGAAGTGAAAATAGTAATTTAAAAAATATTAATAAAAAAAATTAAGACATTTCTAGAGAAAATTAGCAGAGCTTGCAGGCTGACTAGTAATGAATAGAAAATTGACAGGGATGAATAAAAAATGAATTCAGGATTTTAAACTGGGGTGAGTAGGATTAGTGTTTTTACTGAAGAAAGTGATTTGGAAGGATAGAAGGCCATGATTTCTAGTAAGATATATTGAGAGTTGGATTTAATATCTAAATAAAGGATTTTGAAATGCAGGGCTAGAGATTTTATTTTTTTGATATACAGTGTTAACAAAAAGAGCTTTAGAAATTTCTATCATTGATGTTAGTACTTTTATTTTTTAAATTTTAGCTCCAACAGTGGTTCTTATTTGATGGTGATTGTTTAGGTCATTCCCTAATCCTCTTAAATCTTAACTATAGGGCAAGTGGTCCCTGGCTGTATATGCATGTGTATGCAGGGGAAGGCCATGGGAGGAGCCAGCCCTGCAAGGGAGGGCAGTTGGGGGCTATTAGATTGGCAGTGGAGGAAGGGCAGTTGGGGGGGGGTGGACCAGGCCAGCAGGGGAGGGCAGTTGGGGGCAATTGGGCTGGCAGGGGGCAGTTAGGCATTGAACTGGCTGGCAGGGGAGTGGTTAGGGGTGATCAGGTTGGCAAGCAGAAGCAGTTAGGGGCAATCAGGCAGGCAGGCAGGTGAGCAGTTGGGAACCAGCAGTCCTGGATTGTGAGAGGGATGTCCGACTCACCGTTTAGGCTTGATCGCAGTGGGCAGTCGGACATTTCTTGCGGGGTTTCAGATTGGAGAGGGTGCAGGCTGGGCTAAGGAACAGTCCCCCACCCCGTGCATAAATTCTGTGCACTGGACCTCTAGTGTATAATATAAAGATATTGCCTCTTTCATTTTAATTAATTGAATAATAACAGTACTGTGAACAATAAGCCAAGGTTATTGCTATATAAAAATAGTTCTGTCAAGTTTTGGGTACTCTGCAGTACCTGGTACAAGGTGAGTGTTCAATAAATATTAGTAATGCCGAAACCGGTTTGGCTCAATGGATAGAGTGTCGGCCTGCAGACTGAAAGGTCCCAGGTTCGATTCCGGTCAAGGGCATGTACCTTGGTTGTGGGCACATCCCCAGTAGGGGGTGTGCAAGAGGCAGCTGATTGATGATTCTCTCTCATCAATGTTTCTAACTCTCTATCCCTCTCTCTTCCTCTCTGTAAAAAATCAATAAAATATATTAAAAAAAAAATAAATATTAGTAAGTTATGACTTCTTATCTTTCTGAAATAAAAACACGGAATAAAAAAAACTAAAAACAGCCTCTGCTAACTCAAAATAGAAACTAGCACAAATAGTAAAATAAAGATTTTTGTTTTGTGTACCTGACAGAACCTAACTCTAAAGTTATTTTAATACTAGAGGCCCTGTGCACGAATTCATGCATGGGTGGGGTCCCTTGGCCTGACAGGTGATTGTGGCCTATTGGGAGGCTGGCTGGCTGGGGTGAGGCCACAAGAGGTTGGCCGGCCAGGCCTTCTCCCCCATTGGGGTCAATCATGGGGAGGAACCATGAGAGGTTGGCTGGTTTGGGGTGGGGGACTGTGGGAGGTTGGCTGGCTGCCCCCCCAACCTCATCGGGGCTGATCTGGGGGACTAACTAGGGGGAGAGATTGCAGGAGGTTAGCCAGTCTTGGGGAGAAACCTTGGGAGGTTGGCCAGCTGGGGGGAAGGACCATGGGAAGTTGGCTGGCTGACCTGGGGGAGGGACCACAGGAGATGGCCAGCAGCAGGAGGTTGGCTGTGGGAGTGCGCTGACCATCAGGGGCAGCTTCTGCATTGAGCGTCTGCACCCTAGTGGTCAGTGCACATCATAGCGACCTGTCAACCAATTGCTTGGTTGTTTAGTTGTTTGGTCGCTTAGGCTTTCATGTATATAGACAACAGGCCCAGTGCATGACATTCGTGCACTGGTGGGAGGGTAATCCCTCAGCTCGGCCTGCGCCCTCTCATAGTCCAGGATTAAGGATGTCTGCTTGCTGGCTTAGGCCTGCTCTGGAGTGGCCTTAGTGCTGCCTTGGAGGCAGGAAAGGCTCGCCACTGCACTTGCCAGCTGCTGCACTCACCAGCTGGTAGCCTGGTTTCTGGCTGAGCATTACTCTCCTTGTGGGAGCACACTGACCACCAGGGGGCACCTCTACCCCCTGGTGGTCATTGTGTGTCATAGCGACCAGTTGTTCCACCGTTCGGTTGATTTGCATATTAGGGCTTTATTATTATTGAATGAAGCCTTAGAGAAGAGCATTTTATTTTAAAAATTTAATTTTAATCTCAAAATTATCCTGTATATATGATGTATGAGCATAAAATCATATTGTATTCTCACCAGCTCTAAAGATAAATAATTGACTATTTTATTAGTCTAGAACTATGTTGTCTAATATGGCCATGTGTGACTGACTATTGAGAACTTGCAGTGTGGGTAGTATGAATTATGTTGTGCTATAAATGTAAGCTAAACACCCAATTTGAAGTTAGTATAAAAAATGTAAAACATGTCAATTTGTTTTGTATATTGATTAACTTTTTGTATTCTGTTACATTGAAATTTATTGATATGTTTTGCACTCCTGCTGGGTCTTTTTACTATGTATGATCCTGTAATATCAGGGATTAGATTTGGGAAATATTGGTTTACTAAGTTATTCAGATTTTCTAAATATATATTGACAGATTTTATTGTACAATATAAAAAAATCATTAATACTGCTACCAGTTTTTATCAGAAAAACCTTTAAATATTGAGCTGTCAAACTCAAGGTGGTAGATAAAAGTTTTATAAAATTTTAACTTTTGCTTGAATTTTATCATTGGCAACAAATATTTTCATTTACTTTCCTTGAAGTGACAGTTTTACTTTGTACATTTTTTAGAAAATTTCTGCCAAATAACCTAACCAAAAGCCATAGTTTTTGAATGCCAGTCTTTCTTTCTAGTAAGAAAGGTATTCCTTAAATAATATTCCTTGTAAAATGTGGTTAATTCAGCTCACAAAATACTCACAGAATGACTGTTCCTGGAGAGAACTGTGTGGCTTTGATATGTAGCAAAACTGCTTTAGGTGCTATGCATACTTCCCATTTTACTTCATAGAATATCAGAAAGTGGGTATATTCAAAGTCATTGATTTAATAAATTAATCATTTTTGGTGCTTCATCAGTGAAGGGGGTATTTTTATTTTATTATTTTTATTATAAGTGTGCAGTATTGAAGAATACAGCAACTGCTAATACAGTTCAATGCCACTGCCTTGATTTATGCTACGAGACCAGCAGTTTTACCCATCACTGCTTTTGCATTTTTAAAAAATTATTATTTTTTAAAAATATATTTTATTGATTTTGTACAGAGAGGAAAGGAGAAGGATAGAGAGTTAGAAACATCGATGAGAGAGAATCATCGATCAGCTGCCTTCTGCACACCTCCTACTGGGGATGTGCCTGCAACCCAGGTACATGCCCTTGACCGGAATCGAACCTGGGACCTTTCAGTCCGTAGGCTGATGCTCTATCCACTGAGCCAAACTGGTTTCGGCTGCTTTTGCATTCTTTAGTGCAAATTAATGTCTTAATATTATTTATGAAAATAGTTTGTACAGAAGGCAAATTAATGTCTTAATATTGTTTATGAAAATAGTTTAACCTTGTGGACCCTCTGAAAGGGTCTTGGCAACCTCCAGTGGTCAACACACTATTCCTTGACAACTGTTGCTCAAGAGTATATAAAAGATTACTAAAAGTCAGACCCTGCAAAAGACTAGTGTACATTGAAGATGAGGTCACAAATGGAATATATGGTAAAGTATAATGAGCACCAGATAAGAACTACAGACTTGTAGATAGTCAGAAGAAAGATGATAATCAGCTGAGGCTATATCAATAGGATTTGTATTTGAAATGGACTTTAAGAGATTTCAACAGACGGATACGTGGGTTAGTAGAGGAGAGTGTTTCAGGTAGAAGCAGCAGTTTGAAGCTAGAGGGGTAGATACTTATGTGACTTCAAGAACATTATTTCATGTCTTGGAACTTCAGTTCCATAATCTATAAAACAGAGATTGAATTTGATCATTTAGTTCACTTCCAGGTTTAAAGTTGCAAGATTTCAAGTAGTATTTTTGTAAGGTTGTGCTCTCAGCGTTATTATTGTTGTTGTTAGGAGCCGAAATATTTAAATGATTATAATTTAAAATGTATTTAATGTTTTTAAAAATATAAATTAAGGTATTTGCTTTGTATTTTTGCATAAAATTTGTGTATACTATTGGCATTTATTAGTGCATAACATAGGAAACATTCTAAATGGTTTTTAAATTTTTTCATTTTTATAATAAATTCATTTTATTATCTTTCGTATTTTTATGTGAGATTGAAATAGAGGTAGAATTGCAGTGTAATAAGATATATTTAGTGCTCTTACTATATTTTTTAGTGTGTGCATTACTAGAATTCATATTCCCTTATTCAAAGTATTTGAAGAATTAAATATTCGTTGAATCATTATTTACAGGCCTAGTACCACAAATTGGCCCCACACTGTGATTTTTACTTTTTAAAAATAGCTACTTCGATTACCATATGAAATAATGAAACCAAGTAATTTAGATTCAGCTAATTGAAAAAAAGGTTGCTTCTGGGATTTTTAGACACATAGAGAACAGATTGATGAAGAAAAATATATTTACAACACAAATTTTCTCTTTTGACATTAAATGCTGATTTTTCTTGTAGTTTTTAATTATTAATTATAAACTCTGTAGTATCTAATACCAGGCCTTATAGGAGTATTCTAATCAAATAAGTATTGGTTAAATTGAAAGTAATTCTAATGTAGAAGTTTCTAGTTGCTGTTTTTCTTTTAAAACATTAGGTTTCTATAGGATGTCTGAATTTTCAGTAAATTATCATCTCTGTGTTTTTTTTCATTGTCTAGTGACTGTGGCTTAAATGTTATTGATGAACTATTTCTCAGATGATTAATATGAATATCTTGTATTTTATGCAAAGATTCCTGAATAGAATGGTATATTTTACCAACTTTTTGTTATTGATTCTTTTAGGAATGGATCGAGATTATGGCCCTGGATCTTATGGAGGTCTGGCATTCAAGGATATTTATCTAAAAATTCTTCTTTTGGGTGCCAGTAAAGGTGAGCATCATTTAATTTTTTTCTTTTTAAACCCTTTATAGGGATGGATCGTGACTATGGCCATGGATCCTATGGGGGTCAAAGATCCATGGACTCCTACCTAAACCAGTCATATGGCATGGACAATCACAGTGGTGGTGGTGGGGGTAGCAGGTAAATTGCTTAATCACTTAGCCAAATAATTAGAAGATTATAAGATTCTGGATATTTTAATTTAAGAATTCCTTAGGCACGTTATGATACTTGAACTTCACTATTTGGTATTGAATAATAACCTTAAATGTTTAAAGGTGTTAACTAATGGTTATAAAAATTATCTTAAAATCACTGGCAGACATTTTTTTAAGAACCTCAGATAACTTACCATTTCAATACATAAATCGTTAAAGATTTTCTGCTTTTAGCAATGAATATTTCTTTTACTTTAAATTCTTAATCAGAATGTCCTGAACAAATGGTGTAAAATGTTACTTGAAATATTATATATGAAGGTTTTTCTTAATGATTTAAAAAAATCTTTCCTAATGTGGGGTGCTGTTAAAAGCAGCAAAGCAGCCTTTGACTAGCTTAGCCATGTTCAATTTCTAAGAAACATTTAAGATATCTATTCTTTTAAATTTAACTCTCAAGTAAGTTGTAAGAGCATATTATAATAATAGAAACATTCTTTATATCATATCTAGGTTATTTATTGTCAGATACTACTGAAACCAAAAACCACTTTTGTTAGGAGCGTTGTATTAAAGTCATGAATACTATACTTTTTACTTATTTTAATGCACTAGAGTTCACAATGTATTTATATTTTGCTTTTGATACTTGGAAAGCATAAACCTAGTTGAGCTACTATAGACTTTAAGGTTGACCATATTTCAGACAAAGGGAGTTTATTTTTTGAGACACAAAGATTCCTATTAAATAGTAGTAAAACTAGTTGGAGAACATTTAAAACTATTGTCCCTCATAAATTGAAGGATCCAGATTCCTTAAGGATGGATTGAATCTTGCTTACCTTCTTTCTGTTTCAAGTGTGCCACTATGGTCCATAGTAGAGAAACAGTTATGTTCAAGAAAATGAACAGTTATGACAATTTTGCTTATAAGATAGATGTTTTGAAAAATGTAGTTGCAAAGAGGAAAACTTTTTATATGGTTACTAGGATTTAGAAGTAAATAATACCTTCTATTTATTTAGTTATCTGTAAATAATTAAAGTAATGTAACATTGAAATGTTTTAATATATCAATTATTGCCTTGTTACACTGTAAATGTAATGTGTATACATTATGTAGATGTTATTGTTTATCTCATGTGTAATTGTGGGCCTTTATAAAACTGTGTTGTAAAGTGTCAAGCATACTTTGGATTTGTGAGAAGATGATTCGTTTCTTCTGTTGATTCTATTAAAACCTTGAGGAGATTGTGTGCTCCCTTTTTTTAGCATAGTTTTATGTGACAATTTCCTGCCAGGAAATAATTTTTCAAATATTCTTTCTCATCTGCCTTGAAAATTCATATGCAGAGGGTATATGCTGGTGGTCCTTTTATGTTCTATTTTATGTGCTTATCCTTCTAGATTTGTTAGATTTACTAGTCTATAAGTGAAAAGAGACTGAGGATCGATGTTGACCTTAGCCAAAGTTTGGCAGATTGTCAAATTTTATAACCAGAGATTTTTCTCCAAATTTGAACTATAAACATAATGAAGCAGTTTTGTGATATAGATTATTGAGGGTGCAAAAGGATCTCTTCTGTGTCGTAATAGCCTGCCTCTGTGTAGTCTTCAATTTGTGTCCCTATTGAAAGCTAAAATACTGTAAATATTTTTTTTCTAACATTGAGGATGGATTTAAAGAAAGTTTGAGTAGTTTGTGAAATTTAGCAAATGACTTTTTCTAAGACTAGGGCTGGGCTAAAATAATTACAGACAAATCTTTTATTTTTAATAAAACGGAAAAGCTGCTAAAAAGCAGATTTTTAAGCTAAGCTTTACTTTACTCAATTCATATTTAAAAACTGACTCAGGTAGCTTTCTATCTGGTCTCATGTTGAATTGCCCAGCCCTAATCAAGCGTGAACAAAAGTAGAACTGTGCAAACCAGTATGGTATAAATGAATTTTAGTTGATAAATGTCATCTGATAATTTGTCTTTTGAATTGTCTAACATTAGTAAGCTTACTTTTGTTTTTTCCCTCACTGTGCAATTTTTCCAGGTTTGGACCTTATGAGTCTTACGACTCCAGGTCTTCTCTGGGTGGGCGAGATCTGTACAGATCTGGCTATGGTTTTAATGAACCCGAACAAAGCCGCTTCGGAGGTAGTTATGGTGGTCGATTTGAGAGCTCCTACCGGAATAGCCTTGACTCTTTCGGAGGTAGAAACCAGGGCGGGTCTAGCTGGGAAGCACCTTACTCCCGTTCAAAATTGAGGCCTGGGTTTATGGAGGACAGAGGAAGAGAGAATTACTCTTCCTACAGCAGTTTTTCTTCACCCCATATGAAGCCTGCACCTGTAGGCTCTCGGGGGAGAGGAACGCCTGCTTATCCTGAAAGTACGTTTGGAAGCAGAAACTATGATGCTTTTGGAGGACCATCAACAGGCAGAGGCCGAGGCCGAGGAGTAAGTACAACAGAATCTTTTCAGATTCTTTTCACTAGTCACTCTTTTAAACCCTTTCAAGACCGTGGTTTTCAACTAGGATAAACACTGTTCATACCAGTGTATTCTGAAGCAAAAGCTGAGTCATAAGCTTAATTTTTAGGTTGACTAAAACTTTCTCCAGCATCCCAGAAAAGAAGTGACAGTGTGAGAGGATTGTTCATAAAGTTTTGCCAAATCTCCCTTTATTAAAAAGGTGAGGATGTTAGATTTGGTCTAAAAGGGATTAAAAGGAGTTGCATTTTTCCTTGTAAACACCAGCAGTTTTGTTAGTGGGACAGTTCTTGGATTATTGTAAAAGTTAATAACCTTTTTGGAGTTTTTTGAGTAGGTTAAAGGTGCAATGTATGATAAAATGTTTATACTTTGCTACTAAGCTCTATTTCTTCAAAGCTCCATATTTTACATTAAACATAGATCAAAAGTTGGTGATAGTTGAGGGTAGCTTAGCTTTGTTTACAAGGTGAAGAAGTTGACATGTAAAATAGGTTGTAGAATGATTTGTGGTCAGTATAATTTTGCTAATTCACTCTTAAAATATGTCCTATTGCTGGGTGTAATATTTTCTCTGTCATCAGTTTTAATATTGAAAAATAATTTCCTACCTGTAAATGTTTATGGCTCCTTCCTAGGAAGTAATATTTTGTAAATTCTTGCTTAAATGAGCAGATATAGTAGTCTTCAAGCGTTTAAGGTTATACAGTGTTAATTTTAAGGTTATGCCTATGTTCTTAGGTAACTTGACTAACATGAAATTTTACCTAGTAAGTGTATGTAGGTTATGGAGTTATTTAGTTTGGTCATATAAAGAATACTGTATTGTGGTTTTTTTGTTTTTGTTTTTTTTTCTTTTTTGAGTCAGTGACTCTTAATATTCTCTTTGCAGAGGGAAGTACTTCTGATAAAAAATGTAATAGGGCACACGTTTTGACTGTTTACTAGCTTTTGGTACATCAGTGTAGTGTTCATACTTGTTTAGAAATTTTTCATTTATAACAGTTAACTCTTATGTAAAATGCATTGCACCTTTAATGGATAATTAATCAAGTTTTTCTGATGTGACTGTATTCTCTTCCTACACTAATTTATTCCAATCCACTAGGTTAGATAGGTATCCTAAGCATAATATACAAATGTAAGCAATATGTTGCTATTCCTCCATATTTTATTATTGTAGGTTAAAGGAAAATAAGTGGGGTAAAATTTGAAAACACCTAGCATTTTCCATGCTTTATTATTTACAGGCAAATGACTTTTTTCTTTACTAGTCTTCAAATATCAATTTTCTGTTCGCAATAGGAAAACAGGTATTCCTGTACTTTGTATTCACCATTCTAGTCTGAATGGACTTTTCTTTCTTTCCTCGTGTTAATGAAGTAGATGAACCAATAGGGTTTTCTTTTTTAATCTTCACTTGTACAATTCCCATTGGATCCTTCTCTTCAGATTACTCCTCCTTCTTTATCTTATAAAAGTAAGGTTAGAAGAACAAATTCCTATGCACATGTGACCTCTTGGTGTAGTGGATTTTGTTAATGTCTAAAAGAGGAAGGGACACAGAGTCGCTTGGTTGCATGACTCTTCGTCTGTAGACTTTTGCTCCTCAGGCTTCTGGGTCAGAATATGTTTCTCTAGGTAAGAATGTGAATGGAACGTCAGATGTAATTCTTTATCTGAAGTGTATCTTGGAAGTTGATGCATGGTTATGCTTTAACTCTCCTATTTCATACTAATGTTCCATCTCGCCTTCTCATTCCCTTTTTCAACAGGGAGAAATCATAAATGATTTCTGGATCTTTTTTACTTCAAACTTCAAATATGGTCTTCTTTGTGTTTCTTAGTTATGAGCAAGGCTTTAGTAAAATAAAGATTTATTTTAAGGTCTTTTCATGGGAAAATATCAATTAGGAACTCTGAAGAGGAGTTGTCAGAGAGTTGTACAAGTGGTAATATTTTGACAGGCACATATGTTGTTTATGACCTCAACTAATATTGAATTGTAAAAATAAAAATAGGCAATATATTTGTTCTACTGGAAATAAAAATACTAATTGACTGGATTCAAGTTCATGTAATAATTTATGAAATTTTCTAATGTGTTTATTCAGAGTGGACATGTAAATTTATTACATTTTGGGGAATTTGTAGGTAAAAATTATTAGATAGAAAACATGTACATTTTGTATGAATTCATTTTTTATATTTGGATATTATGTTAATGTTTTTTGATTTCACAAATTTGCAGCATATGAGTGATTTTGGAAGCATTCATAGACCTGGAATTGTTGTTGACTATCAAAATAAACCCGCCAATGTGACAGTTGCTGCTACAAGAGGAATAAAGAGAAAAATGATGCAACAATTTAATAAGCCCAGTGGAACCTTCATCAAGAAACCCAAGCTAGCAAAACCTGTGGAGAAGATGAACCTCAGCAAATCACCAAGTAAGTAAGAAAATATAATTGCTGAGAGTACTTTTTACCTTTTTAAATCCAGTGCTTTTAGATAATTTTTTTGTGTTTATATAGACAAGTTGCATTGTAATTATAGTGGTTAGGTTCCAGGAAACCTCTAGTACAGTTATTATTCATGACATCAAAATTACCAAGAAACTTTATTTTTAACATTTTTATACTTTATTTTAAAAAAAATGTTTATATTGATTATAGAGAGAGGGGGGAAAGGAGAAGGAGAGAGAAAACATCAATGTGAAAGAGAAACATTGATTGGCTGCATCCCACATGCAACCAGACTGGGGATCGAACCCACAAACTGGTACGGGTTCTGACCGGGAATCGAAAGAGTCATTGCCCTTTCAGGGCACTGGGTGACGCTTAACCAACTGAGCCACGCTGGCCAGGGCACAAGATACTTTTTAAGTTCACATGCCCTGATCTATCCCTTTTCCCTAAATCCTGGTTTAGGGTGGAGTTAGAATATTTAAATATTTAAATGGCTTCACACATGATTTGAGTCAAACTGTTGGATGTTACAGTGTATTTATTGTTGGAGGTGTTGAAGAAGTGTTATATTACATAGAATTCTCTTTATGAGGACAAAGGGAAGAAATGTTTCATGGTCCCAGGTACCAGGAAAATCTATACTTCTAGAAAATTAATTGGCTTTTAATCTTCTGGACATGATGACTTTTTTAGGTTGTTGGTTAATCCTCATCCAAGAATATATTTTCCATTGATTTCTAGAGAGTGGAAGGGAAGGGGAGGAGAGAGAGAGAGAGAGAGAGAAAATGAATGAGTGAATGAATGAGTTATGAGACACACCGATCATTTGCCTCCTGTATGAACCCTGACAAGTGCTAGGCTCGAACCTGCAACCCAGGTACACGCCCTTGACTGGGGATCAAACCTTGGACCCTTTGGTGCATGGGCTAACACTACCACTGAACACACTGTCCAGGATATCTCCCCCCACCCCCCTTTCCTTTTTTTAAAAACAATATTTGAGAATAGTGTAGTATAGCTAAGAATGAAGCCAAAATTCTATACTCAGTTCATCCTTTTACTGTCAGGCATGAGGTAGGTATTTAAGAACTATCTGTAAAATATTTAGGAATAGGAGGTCTTGTAATATATGCTATATGATTTGCAGAAAGCAGTAGAAGAAACCATATTCAGTCATTTCTCAGGAGGTACAATATACTAATATGTCATAGCTTTAGCGTATGAAAGGGAAATGCAATTATTTCTAGTTTGAGGTCATATACCTGTAGATTTTCCATAGAGAGTTTTAAGGAAATCCAATAGGAATATGGAAATGGTTAATTAATAAGAATATACATTTAAGCTCTTATAAAATGATAAAAAGTAATTTAGATACTGAGTTTTAAGGTATTGATTTTAGATAATTTTGAAACATTAGCCTGTATACATAGCAAATGCTGCCTAAAACTTGTTTACTGTCAAGTTTATGAATCCCTAGGTATTCATGATTTTATATTACGTATTTTTGCAAACATAATCTAAAAGGAAAACAATGCATAAAAGGAAAACTTTAAGGGCAGATTAGTTTTTTTAAGTCTAAAGTTAAATGTATTATAAGAAAGAACTTGCTCACAGTGAGATATCACTTCACACCATGTGAAGTTGATGGATATAATAAAAACAAAGTGTTGGCAAGGAGTGGAAAAATTGGGACCCTCACACATTACTGTTGAGAATCTAAAATGGCGCAACTGTTATGGGAAACATTTTGATAGTTCTTCGAATGAATAAATGTAGACTGACCATATAACCCAGCAATTCCACTCCTGGGCATATACCTCAAAGAATTGAAGAGAAATATTCAAACAAAAGCTTGTACACAAATTTTCATAGCAGCAGCATTCACAGTAGCCAAAAGATGGAAACAATGCAATTGTTTATTAACAAATGAATGGATAAAAGGAAATGTGATCTGTTCACACAATGGAATGTTCATTCATTAAAAAGGAAGTAAGTACAGATACATGGTTCAGTATGTGAATGAATCTTGAAAATACTATGCTACATGAAAGAAGCTAGACAAAAAAGCCACATATTGTAGGATTCTATTTATATGAAATATCTGGAACAGAGAAATCTGTGGAGACAGAAAGTAGATTAGTAGTTACCAAGGGGTTGGGGAAAGAGTAAGTGGGGAGTGACTACTTACTGGATATGGACTTTCCATTTGGGGTGATGAAAAATTTGAAACTAAGTAGTGATGATGGTTGGATAACATTATGCTGTACTTACTGTCACTGAATTGTTCACTTGGAAATGGTTAGAATGGTAAATTTTATTTTATTTTATTTATTTATTTATTTTTTATTTTTATTTTTTATATATTTTATTGATTTTTTTGTACAGAGAGGAAGGGAGAGAGATAGAAAGTTAGAAACATCAATGAGAGAGAGTCATTGATCAGCTGCCTCTTGCACACCCCCTACTGGGGATATGCCCGCAACCAAGGTACATGCCCTTGACCGGAATCGAACCCGGGGCCCTTCAGTCCCCAAGCCGATGCTCTATCCCACATGTGTCAAACACAAGGTCCGCGGGCCAAATCCTTGATAGCATGTGAGTTGGTTAACAGCACTGTTAAGGAAAAGATTGTTCCACTCATTTTAAATTCACATTTCTGGTTAACATTGTCAGTTTATGACTGTTCAGTAAACCATTCGGCCCGCGATTTAGGCTGGATTTTAAATTTTGGCCCCTTCTCTGATTGAGTTCGACACCCCTACTCTATCCATTGAGCCAAACCGGTCCTGGCTAGAATGGTAAATTTTATACCAGTATTTTATTACTTTACTAGAGGCCCAGGGCTTGAAATTCATGCATAGTGAGGTGGGGGTGTCCCTCAGCTTGGCCTACACCCTCTCCAATTTGGGACATCCCTTTCGCAATCCAGGACTGCTGGCTCCTAACCACTCCCCTGCTAGCCTAATTGACACCTAACTGCTCCCTTGCCAACCTGATTGCCCCCAACTACCTTCCCCTGCTGGCCCAATCATCCTCGGCTGCCCTCCCGTGCTGGCCTGATCAACCCCAACTGCCCTGCAGGTTTGGGTCACCCCTAACTGTTCTCCCCTGCTGACCTGTTCGCACCCAACTGCCCTCCCCTGCAGGCCTGGTTGCACCCAAGTGCCTCCCCTGCCGGCCGATCACCCACAACTACCCTCCCCTGTCAGCCATCTTGTGGTGGCCATCTTGTGACTATCTTGTGGCCACCATCTTGTGATGTTGCACGATGTTACCTAGACTTTTATTATATAGGATTATATTTGCATTAAAATGCTTTCTTAAAAAGAGGAAGGAACTGCTTTAATTAGAGTTCATACCTTTTGAGAAATTTTGGGAAAGCACATATAATATATATGAATTTTTATATCCATGGCTCTCTAGTTTTCATTTAATTCCATTTTAATGCAGCATCAGTTTACTTCAGTGTTTCTTAAAGTGGTATTCAAGATGATTTGAGGTCAGCAGTATTCAACCCATAAACCAGTTAATAAAATTCGGTGACACACCAAAAGATATATAAAACTTTTTCCTAAACTGACCAAAAAATAGGTTTAATTTTAATTCATACACGCTAGATGGCTATTATTGCGTTGTTCGTTGTCATGTTTTAAATTTGACAAAGGAAAAAGAAGTCAGTGCCACTGACTAAATAGTCAGGTATTGCATGTTTTAAAAATTTTGTGGCACACTGCTTAAAAAATGCTGTTTTAGGTCATAGTGATTTTATTGCTTAAAATAAGAATAAGGAAAATAAGAATAAGAAAAATGAATAAGGTACCTAGGACCATTTAGAGAAGAAAAATATATAGCAAAGATCCCATAGATAAGTAAATATGACAAAATTCATGATGATTATATACACTGGGTAATCTTGAACTTTGATTTTATTTATTTATTTATTTGAGTTCAATTTAATCTGATACCAACAAGTAAACTTTGCATCTCTGTATTTTATAAACTGGGACTGGGAAGGGAGAATGGAAATCTATAGTCTTAATATTTTTGTCTGATATCCTAGCAAAAATTGACCTAAAAAATGAAGAAGAAGAAGAAAAGCGGCGAATTGAGGCTCGGCGAGAGAAACAAAGGCGCAGAAGGGAAAAAAACAGTGAGAAATATGGAGATGGATACAGGTTTGTGCTTAGTAGTCAGAAAATTGGGCTCATTATAAAACCATTTTCTATAAAAGGCAATTAGTTGGAATGTAAAAAAATTCCTGAGCATTAAATGAAAAGTTTTGATCCGAGATATGTAGGAATGTTTTTGATATTTATATATAATTACCATTTAGAAAATATAAGAAAAAAGTCCCATTTAGTAATTTTAATTGTTTTATAATATCCAGAAATACAGTATTCTTAATAAGAAATCTATGTCATAATATGAGGAAAACCACAAAGTCTTTGAGATTTTACTATATGGAGAAATAATAATAATAATATATATATTAATATATATGTTTGCATATATATGTGTGTGTGTGTGTGTGTGTGTGTGTATATATGGAGAAATAACATATACATACACACATACATACATACATACATATTAGAGGCCCGATGCATGAAATTTGTGCACGGGGTGGGGTGTGTCCCTCAGCCCAGCCTGCACCCTCTCCAATCTGGGACCCCTCGGGATGTTCGACATCCCTCTCATAATCCAGGACTGCTGGCTCCCAACTACTCTCCTGTCTGCCTACCTGATTGCCCCTAACCGCTTCTGCCTGCCAGTTTGATCAACCCCTAACCACTCCCATGCCAGCCTGATTGATATCTAACTGCTCCCTACCAGCCTGTTTGCCCCCAACTTTCCTCCTCTGCCAGCCTGGTCACCCCTAACTGCTCTCCCCTGCAGGGTTGATTGCCTCCAACTACCCTCTCTTGCAGACCTGGTCCCTCTCAACTGCCCTTTCTTGCAGGCCTGGTGCCTCCCAGCTGCCCTCCCCTGCTGGCCATCTTGTGTCCACATAGGGGCAGGATCTTTGACCACATAGGGGCAGCCATATTGTGTGTTGGAGTGATGGTCAATCTGCATATTCTTTTATTAGATAGGATAGAGGCCTGGTGCATGGGTGGGGGCCAGCTGGGGATAAAAGTGTGTTGTTATCCAGCTGGTTTGCCCTGAAGGATGTCCCGGATCAGGGTGGGGGTTCCCTTGGGTTGTGGGGTGACCTGGGCGAGGAGCCTGTGTTGGTTTGTATCCTTGAGTGGAAGCCTTGGCTGGCCAGGGCAGGTGGAAAGCTTGGCTTCCTCCGTTGCCAGGGGCAACCCTAGCCTGTCCTCTCCAGTTCTGTGGTTGCTTCCGTTTTTCTTGGGATTTATCTTCTATAATTGAAATTTTGTATCCTTAAGTGGAGGCCTAGGCCGACCAGGGTGTGTGGAAAGTTTTGCTTCCTGTATTGCCAGGGAAACCCCAGCCTCTCAACTGCTCTCTGTGGCTGCAGCCATCTTGATTGGGGTTAATTTGCATACTCACTGATTGGCTGGTGGACACGGCTTGTGAGTGTAGCAGAGTGATGGTTGATTTACATATTACTCTTTTATTAGGTAGGATATATATACATATATACACATACACATACATACACATATACGTACATACACATACACACACACACATGCACACACACACACATACATATATATATCCTCACCCAAGGATATGTTTATTGATGTTAGAGAGGGGAAGGAATTGAGGGAGAGGGAGAGGGAGAGAAAGAGAAACATTAATTGGCTGCCTCCTGTACATGCCCTGTCTGGAAATTGAACCCGCAACCTTTTGCTGCCTCCAACTGAGCCACCTGGACAAGGCCATAGTAATCTTGTGTAGGAAAATTAAATTTTACGAAAAGAATAATAAATGAGTAGATACTAGCTTTTTTAGATATTGAAACAGAAAGCTATACTAGAAAAAGATAATCAGTGTAACTGAATTATTAACCTATAAGCAGATGTGTTATATGTAAGAATGTAATCTATACTAATTAGACCAGACATTCTTCTGGACAAAGCCAAGGTGGCATAGACTGATGCAGAGGTGGTTAGGCGTGATCAGGCTAGCATGGGGAAGCAGTTAGGGGGCGATAAGGCTGGCAGGGGAGGCAGTTAGAGAGCAATCAGGCTGGCAGGGGAGCAGTTAGGAACAATCAGGTAGGCAGGCAGGCAGAGGTTATTAGGGGCCCTGCAGTTGGACATCTCCTGAAGGGTCCTGGATTGGAGAGTGTGTAGGCTGGGCTGAGGGACAGCCCTTCCTCCCTCTCCTCCTCTCCTTCCCCCCCATATGAATTTCATGTACCCGGCCTCTAGTGTATATAGTGTATAATAAAGAAGATAACTGCAAATGAAAGGAGAATTGCTTGAACAACTGAACAATAGCAAGAAAAATAGTTTAGATCCTCTTCTTATACCAGCAAGGATGAATCCAGATTAATTAACCTAAAAAAATGGAAAATAATAGGAAACTAAAATGGAACATTTTAATCCTGCAAGGAGGTTTTGTTTTCTAAGCTTAAAAGTTTTATAATAAATTGCAAAAGTTTTTTTTTTTAACAAATTTTATTGATTTTTTTACAGAGAGGAAGAGAGAGGGATAGAGTTAGAAACATCAGTGAGAGAGAAGCATCGATCAGCTGCCTCCTGTACACTCCCTACTGGGGATGTGCCTGCAACCAAGGTACATGCTCTTGACCAGAATCGAACCCGGGACCCTTCAGTTCCCAAGCCGACGCTCTATCCATTGAGCTAAACCGGTTTCGGCAATAAATTGCAAAAGTTTTACAATAAATTACAGATTTGTTAAGATACAAATTTTAAACTTAAAAGGAAAACAAATAGACTTGGAAAATATAAACATGAAAAATGATTAATGTTTAAGTTAGATAAATATCACTAAACCAGAATTTTTTTAAAAAAACAAGGAAACAAGATGCCCAATACATAATTTGGTGAAAGAACAACAGCTATATAATAATTCTAGGGTAAATAAACTGGAAATTTAAATAATAATATAGCATTTTTATTAGCTAGGAAGAAATAATGTTGATTAACTGGGATACAGTCAAAAGACATAATTTTCTGGTGACTATATAATATAACTACTGGGAAGCAATTTATCAGTTTTTAAAAATGTCTTGAATTTTTTTATACTTTTTATCCCTCCAAGAAAATAACCTAAAAATGTAGACGACTTTAATCTGAAAAGATACTCATTACAGCATTATTTATAATAGCTCCAAAACCAGCAATAGCGTGTAACCAATCATATGTAAGGTTAAACACATCCCTTCATGACTCTTATGCCTTTGGTTATAAAGCCTGAAACAATATGCAGAAAATGCAGGCACAATAGAAAAATTCAGGGTGGGGCAAAACTAGGTTTACAGTTCATATGAACAATAATACCGTAATTAGACTAGTGGGCTGAAAGGTGTAAGCTAATTGAAACATTTAATGAAAACATACTATGTTCCAGATACTGTTAAAGTTATTAGTGGTTGAAACTAAATGATAGGACAGAGTAAGTGCTGTTCTAAAGGGTACTGAAGGCATTTTAACTTTTTTTGAGCCATAAGGAGCCAGTGAAGCTTTTTGAGCAGTAATGTGCTGTTGCCTCCTTTAGCAACAATAATCCTAATATATAAAAACTCTGGGTCTGTCACAATGACTGGAGGCTCGACCAGGCTAGCCCGTGCAGCAGGCTCTGGTGGGTGAGAACTTGTGGCAGCGGAGATAGGGACTGGGGAAGTGGGGCCAGCACTCACACTCACAACTGCACACATGCACAGACACACACAGCACCCACAGCCTTTTCTCCCTTTCTTTCCCTCCGCCTCTTAGCCTATCTCAGAATGAGGAAACAAAACAGACTGGGCCTGAAGAGGCCTCGATGGAAGGGAGAGTGAGTAGAGGGTGGAGTGGCCCCCACTGGCCTCACCCCCTCTAGCCTCGCCCCCTCTTATCCAGGAAAGAGGAAGAGGGAGGCAGGGAGGCCTAGAGGACTGGGCAAGATCAGGCTGGCAGAGGAGAGCAGTTGGGGATGAGATTAGGCCAGCAGGGGAGGGCAGTGGGGATGAGATTAGGCCAGCAGGGAAGGGCAGTTAGGGGTGATCAGGCAGGCAGGCAGGAGCCAGCGTTCTCAGATTGCAAGAGAGATGTCCGACTGCTATATTTCTGCTAAATCAGCAATCATTTATCTTCCAAAGGGTCCCTGATTGGAGAGGGTGCAGGCTGGGCTGAGGGAACACCCCTTCCCTCCCACCCCTCACCCCCATCCCTGCACGAATTTTGTGCACTGGGCCACTAGTCTATATAATAATAAAAGTGTAATATGCTAATTAGGCTGGATGAAGCCATAGTGGTGGGGGCTGAGACAGAGGCAGCCACCGCAGGGACGGGGTCCCTTGCATGAATTTTGTGCATTAGGCCTCTAAGTATATTTATAAAAGCCTAAGTGACCATTTGATTGGTTGCTATGATGGGCACTGACCACCAGGAGGCAGACGCTCAATGCATGAGTTACCCCTAGGTTGTCAGTGTGCTCCCACAGTGGGAGCTAAAATTAGTTTCATTGTTATCTTTATATGCACTCTGTAAGTAAATAAAATAATATATAAAGAAATACTTTTTTCCCTTCCAGAATGGCATTCACATGTTCATTTTGTAAATTTCGAACTTTTGAAGAAAAAGATATTGAACTTCATCTGGAAAGTTCTTCACACCAGGAAACATTAGATCATATTCAGAAACAAACTAAATTTGATAAAGTAGTTATGGAGTTTTTGCATGTAAGTAGCTGTTTTTAAAGTGAAAAGCACTTTATCTGAAATTTCAATTTCTTATTTTTTTTATAGTTCTTTCCCATATTATGTTTCTAAAATTTTAATTTACTTTTTACTTTGTTATTTTAAAATGAAACCGGAATTAGATGTTAATTCCTATTGTAAATATAATTTAGATTTGTTATTTGAGGGGACATTTTATATTTCCTAGAGTAATTTTTGGTACAGGTGTCTGAAAAAGAATTCCTTGAACAACTTAATGCTAAATCAGCTATCATCCATTGTGCTGAGTACGCTGATATTTTATTTGAGCCTCAGAACAACTCCTTTTTTATCATGAAAGATCATGCTCAGAACAATTTAATGACTCAGTAAGTAATAGAGTTTTAATTCAGAGCCAGAGAGCCAGGTGTCTGTTTAGTGCCCTTTGTAATATGAGTGTGTGGTCATCAGTTCAACAATTTTTCTTGAATATTTATGAAATGTGCTGTGTAGGCACTGAAGACCCAGACACTACCCTCATTGAATAGACAACAGTTGGAAATAGAACACACTCATACACATGTTAAGTGGGAGGGCCAAGAATGATAGTATGTGCAGAAGGGATTTGGAGTAAGGGAGGATAGTTGGATTCAGGGATGCTTAAGGAAGGTGCTAGAGCTGGACTGCTAATTGTACATACAGTTAATTTGGGCAGAAGAGATAGACTTGTTAGAAGGCTAGAAATACAATGATCACTCCTATATCCTTACAGAATTGTGTCCCTTAATTATAATTTTTTTGTAATTCATTCCTTAACTGGTTCTTGTCATTTAGGACTTAAGTGTTCATCTGCTCAGAGAAAACCTCTCTCGCTCTCTCTCTCTCTCTCTCTCTCTCTCTCTATATATATATATATATATATATACACATACATATGTGTGTGTATATATATATATAATTTGGAAAATATATATTTTAATTCATTTCAAAGAGGAAGGGAGAGGGAGAGAGAAATACTATAGTATATAGAAATATCAATGATGAGAGAGAATTATTGATTGGCTGCTTCCTGCCCCTCCCCTACTGGGAATTAAGCCTGCAACTGGGGCATGTGCCCCACCTGGGAATCTATCCATCACCTACTGGTTCATAGTTTTGACGCTCAACCACTCTCCAGGCCAGAGAAACCTTGACTTGTCTGCTCTCTCTGATTTCTCTTACTCTATCTTCCTAGAATATGTTTGAAAAGTGAATGCTTTTTATAGTTTATTGGTACATTATGATAATTTTTTCAACTAAATTGTAAGCTTCTTGAGAACATATACTAGTTCTTATATAACACATACTGTTTCATAGGCCAAGCATGGTGCTGAGCATATGCTAAATGCTCACTGATAATTTTTGAATTATTTCTATTTTGTTTTCTAGGAATGTATGGTGAATAAATTCAAGAAAACATCTATTCGTAAGCAACAGACAAATAATCAAACAGAAGCAGTCAAAATAATTGAAAAAGATGTTATGGAAGGTAAGTAAACAAATTGCTTTAGAAAATTTACATGTGTATTTTACACTGTAACCTATTTCTATGTAAATGATGCCCACTAGAGTGATACAGTACATAGTTATGTTTGATAGCACTGAGTGGGTTATAAGAAATGAACTTTGACTTCCTGTTTTCATGTTCACAAATTTATCACTTCCTACCCTTGTGGCCTTCACATCAGTTTTAGAGGAAAAATCAGCTTTACTTCTAAATAGAAGTTCTGCCATCTGCCCTGTCTTTCTTATCCATATCATTTCCTTAAGGACTTTTCCTCTCCTGTTTTCCCTTTTCTCTTTTAATTCCCTCCCTGAAGCCTATTCTTATCTTAAAAAAAAAAAAAAAAAAAAAAAAAAAAAAAGCCAAAGGAGCAGAGGAAAACAAAAACGAACTCTTGTTCACCTAAAATCCACCTTTCTCTTTAAACAGCCAAGTCCACACTGGTCTCTATTTCTTCACTTCCCATTTATTGCTTTACTTATAGTAGATAATTTTCTGCTACTATTAGTTGACTGAAACTGCCCTGACAGAGGTTACCAACTTCAATAGATTGTTTTGAATCATTATCTTACTTCTGTAACTTTTCCACTGATAACTATTCTATGTGAATCCATTTCCTCCCTTGGTTTCTCTGATATCTCATGGCCTTGATGTTCTCTATATTCCCTTGTCACTTTTACTTTGTATGCTCCTCTTTGTGTATCAGGCTTTTAGAAGTCAGTATTTCCTCCGAAACTGGTTTGGCTCAGTGGATAGAGCATCAGCCTGCTGACTGAAGGGTCCCGAGTTCGATTCCGGTCAAGGGCATGTACATTGGTTGTGGGCACATCCCCAGTTAGGGGTGTGCAAGAGGCAGCTGATAGATGTTTCTCTCTCATTGATGTTTCTAACTCTCTATCCCTCTCTCTTCCTTTTTGTAAAAAATCAATAAAATATGTTTTAAAAGAAAAAGAAGTCAGTATTTCCCAGTATTCTGTCATTTGTCCCATTATTATCTCTATTTCTTCCTATATTATTTACAGCGCTTAAATTAACACTTTTGTTAATTACTTATGCATCTATTGCACAGATCTCACTTTGGAACTCTAACGTTATACATCCAACTGCCTATTCACATTTCTTCAGCAGTTCCACTAAATCAACATATCCAAAAACTCTGACCTATCTTTGAGCATCCTCCAGCCCATGAAGAAAACAAAACAAATACTCTACAAATACCTCCTTCATTATGTTGGAAAGTGATCCTCCCATCAAAGCCAGAAATATGAAGTTAAAACCTGAGTGCTTACTGTGATTTGATTCTATCTGTAGCACTGTGATCTTTAGGTTCCATCTTTTAAATGTCTACTAAGTCTGTTTATCTCCTCTTTAAATAATGCATTTATTCAAATCTTTGTGTGCTCTTTTGACAATTATAGTATTTTGTTAACTAGTTTTCTTACTTCCAGTCTTTTTGACCTCTAATTCTACTATATTGCATCATTACTTAAAGAATTTTCAGTGGTTCCCCCATTCAGAATAAAATTCAAATTCTGAAGCATGGCACAAAAGGCTCTCCATGGTCTAGGTCGGTGGTCAGCAAACTCATTAGTCAATAGAGCCAAATATCAACAGTAAAACAAATGAAATTTCTTTTGAGAGTCAAATATTTTAAATTTAAACTTCTTCTAACACCACTTCTTCAAAATAGACTTGCCTAGGCCATGGTATTTTGTTTAAGAGCCACCCTCGGGCTAATGAGCCGCATGTGGCTCACGAGCCACAGTTTGCCGATCACGGGTTTAGGCCTTTCTCTTTTTCTCTGTTCTCATCTTCTGTCTTTTCTTTATACTCTGAGCCCCAGAATCACTTACAGTTCCCAGAAGGAGCCATTTTTCTCTTAAACCTACCCCTTACATATATTTATATATTTACCTGTAATAAATATCAATTAGTATTTTCAAGGCCCAACATATTTTGTTCCTCATGAATCCAATTTTGATATCTTTTCCCTTAGTCCTAGCCACCCACATTCATAATCATGAAAATTCTTATTTTACCAAAAAATCACATTTTTTTTTAAATATTTTCTTTTTGGGATGAATGTATAAGCTTCAGACCATAATTATATAACATGACTAAGAAATAAAATGTAATTATACTGTATAATTTTAGTCTTTTGTCTTTTATGTGCAGATTTATGAGATATATAGAAAAACTCAACATTAACTATATACTCCAATCCTACTAGTATTTTTGGAAGGAGTATAAATAATGATGGAAACAAAATAAAACTTGATTTGTCTGAAATAAAAATATACGAATCATTTCTTATTATTTATTGGATTTTTTGTAGGTGTCTCTGCAGATGATCACATGATGAAAGTAGAGACTGTTCACTGCAGTGCTTGTAGTATGTATATCCCTGCTTTATATAGCTCAGTTCAACAACACTTAAAGTCTCCTGATCATATCAAAGGAAAGCAGGTAAGTTTGCTTCTATCCTAGCATCTATCCTAATGAAGTCTTTATATCATTCTTCAAGCCCTTATTCTATAAAGGCTGTTGTGTACAATCCTGATAATCTCACCTGTGAATTACTGTAAAGATAGCTAGAGAGAGGCAATATGAACAGTAGTTGAATTGTGGACTCTGGATCAAGACATTTTGGGTTTGAATTATGGTTCAAGACATACATGTAAATTAAATTTTTTAAAATTTATTTTATTGACTTTACAGAGAGGAAGGAAGAGGGATAGAGAATTAGAAACATTGATCAGCTGCCTCCTGCACATCCCCTAATGGGGAAGTGCCCACAACCAAGGTACATGACCTTGACTGGAATCAAACCTGGGACCCTTGAGTCCGCAGGCCGATGCTCTATCCACTGAGCCAAACCAGTTAGGGCCATGTAAATTAATTTTAACTTTTTTTATGTGTAAAGTGAGAATGAATAAATCATCCTACTTTTATGTGACTATTTAAAAACTAAAGGCCTGGTACATGAAATTAGTGCACTCAGGGGTGGGGAGGGTCCCTCAGCCCGGCTTGCTAGAGGGTGCAGACCAGGCCAAGGGACCCTACCAGTGCAGGATCGGGGCCAGGGAGAGATGCAGGAGGTTGGCCAGTCCAGGAGGGAACGCAGGAGGGCTCAAGGGCATGTCCGGCCTGTCTTGCTCACTCCCCAGCAGCAAGTTAACCTACTGATTGGAGCGTCTGCCCCCCTGGTGGTCAGTACATGACATAGCGACTGGTCGACTGTTCCCTGGTGGTCAGTGCATGTCATAGCCAGCAGTTAAGTGGCCTTGGCATATCATTAGCATATTACACTTTGATTGGTTGAATGGCCAGTCAGACAACCAGACACTTAGCATATTAGGCTATTATTATATAGGATTAGGTTAATGACAATATAAAAGGCACTTAAAATAGTGCTTGGCACATAATAGGCATTCAGGAAATCATAGCTGTTATTGAATTGTTCCCCCCCCCCCTTTTTTTTTTTTTACTTTTTTAAGTTGATACAAAATGATTGTGTGTGTGTGTGTGTGTATTGTGTGTGTGTGTTTTAGAACAGAAAAGGAAGGAATTATTTGATTATAACATTTTTCTGTAGTTAGGAAAAGTGAAAGTAAAAAGTAGGATTATCAATCACTATCTATTCTTACAATTTTTTAGAAGAATTTACAAAAATATTCTAGAAGAGCCGAAACCAGTTTGGCTCAGTGGTAGAGCGTTGGTCTGCAGACTGAAAGGTCCCAGGTTCGATTCCGGTCAAGGGCATGCACCCAAGTTGCGGCACATCCCCAGTAGGGGGTGTGCAAAAGGCAGCTGGTCGATGTTTCTCTCTCATCGATGTTTCTAGCTCTCTCTATCTCCCTCTTCCTCTCTGTAAAAAATCAATAAAATATATTTAAAAAAATATTCTAGAAGAATTTTTTTTGTTAGCATATTTTTGCTTCTATATTGGTTGCTTTTATTTAGTCCATTTTATTTCAAGTAAAAATGTTTATATTGTGCACAATTTGAAAGGCAAATTAAAAAATGTAAATATTAAAGTTTTTAAAAAAAATTGATTTGAGAGAGAGAAAGGAGGAGAGACAGTGAGATACAGGGGAGGGAGGGAGAAAAACTGATTTGTTGTTTCACTTATTTATGTATGTATTGGTTGATTTAAAAAAAAATAATATTTATTGATTCAGAGAGGAAGGGAAAGGAAAGGGAGAGAGAGATAGAAACATCAGTGATGAGAGAGAACCATTAATTGGTTGCCTCCTGCACACCACAACCCTGAATGTGCCCTTGACCAGAATTGAACCCAGAACACTTAGTCTGCAGGCTGATGCCCTATCCACTGAGCCAAACCAGCTAGAGCTATTGGTTGATTCTTATATGCTCTGACTGGGCATCAAACCCCACAAACTTGTCATATTGAATGATACTCATTTTAAATAGAACATGTTTAGTTTTCAAATTCATATTTTGTATTAAAGTGAATTTCATTTAACTCAAACTTTTTCAGACTTTTTTAAAGCTACTTTGAGCACATATTTTAAAAATCTTAGTCTTTCTCTTTTGATATTCCTTTGACACTTTTTTGAAACTAGACATTGCATAAATTACCTTTTCTCCCTTATGTAAAACTAAAGGCCTGGTGCACAAAATTTATGTACTTGAGGGGGGGTTCCTTTAGCCTGGCCTACACCCTCTTGCAGTCTGGGAGCTCTCAGGGGATGCTCAGGCCTAAGCTGTCAGTCAGACATCCTTAGCGCTACTGTGGAAGGGGAGAGGCTCCCGCCACCGCCTTTGTGCTCACCAGCCTTGAGCTTGGCTTCTGGCTGAGCAGCATTCCCCTGTGGGAGTGCACAGACCACCAAAGGGAAATTGTTTTTTTTTTTTTTAAGGGGGCAACTCTTGCTTGAGCATCTGCCTGCTAGTGGTCAGTGCATATCATACTGACTGGTTCCGTTATTCAGTAGATTTGCATTTTAGCCTTTTATTATATAGGATAGGATAGGATAGTCTTATGATAGTTATAGCTCAGAGATAAAGTAGTTACTCTAGCTCAAAACTTATTCTTTCTTTCTCTAGCATGAAAATTAATAGTTGGAGTAGTTGGCACTGGGCTAGGTGGAGGTAGAATAAAAAGGAGGGAAAGCAATTGTTTAGAATACCTAGAATACCTATATGCTGACTGGGTGTGTGTTATTGAAGCTTATCTGCTCATTGACTCTTCATTGTTTTAATCCATAGAATATTTATGTGTGGTCACAGTAACTTACTTCTTTATTTGCCAGAAAGTAAATCATTTAAATCTAACAATTTGAGCATACAATGTTACTTTAATATGGAAATATTTTTTTATGACATGACTTTCAAGTACTTAAAGAAAGTGTATTCTACTTTTTATAGGTTTATAAGGAACAAATCAAAAGAGAGAGTGTCTTGACTGCTACAAGCATTTTGAATAATCCAATAGTGAAGGCGCGATATGAACGTTTTGTCAAGGTAAGATGTTAGGGTATCAGCTCTTTAGTTTATATTGTAGTATTATAATAATTAAATGGCGATAGTAACTCTTTATTATATTTAAATATAGTACAACATTAGAAAGAGTTGGTCTTAATATCTCACATATATGTAAAACATCTGTTTTTCCTAATTGTTATGGTTTGTGTCAGGAGAGAGCCATAAGCCATTTTTTTCCTTAACCCCTTCCTAGCTCTGGATCATTTGAGAAGTGCACAGGAGTTTGATAAGAAGATCACAATGTCAGCTTTATTCTCCATTTTTAGAAAATAGTTGACTTGAATATGTTTTAGATAGGTAGTTATGTGAATCTTCCAGTATTTCATTACTAAATTACACAGGCTTATGTCTACTGGGGTTCTTGTCCCAGAATTATGAAAAGTTCAGCAATCTGGAGAAAGGTTTTGCATAGATGATTAAAGAGTCCGGAGACGAAAGATACTTTTGAAAGGCATTGGGGGTCAGAGGAGCTTCAGCCAAAGGAGCTAAGGACTCTCCTTGTCCCAGGCCCCCTTGCTCTTTATTAACACAATTTGTCCTAAGGCAAGGTGGAGATAATACACTTCAAAGGGTAGGGTACAGAAGTATTGTCAGATTGGGGAATAGCCTACAGCTGTTCAGGTGTTTGACCAAGGAGGCAATAACATGTAGATTAAGATGCCCTGAACTGTCTGGCAGCAAACAATCATCCTATTCAGGTTTGGGGGAAGTGCCTTTCCAGCTGTTCAAACAAGTAATTACATATGTGACTCAGCTCTTTGTTGAGCCCCCAAGTTTTATCAACCTTTTTATAGAACTGTTGAATTATGACATGCTGGAATTGGCTCCCAGCAATGTTCATCTACCTCTGTTACTGATTTTAGGTGGATAGCAACAGCTTTCCCCTAGTTTATCATGTGACATAGAATAGAATAGAATGCATTCTTTCTATTACTAGGAAGACCCAAAAGAAGGGACCCAGAAGGGATTGAGTTGTGCACGTCCAGTTTCTTCCAAGTATACTAGTTCGATAAGTAATTCCTCTTCCTTGGATGAAGTTAGAGGGGAAGCAGGAGATCATCTGTGTTATTTCAGAAAAACCCTCCCTCATGGAATCAGGAGGCCAGGAGAAAGGTTTGCCCCTAATGTCAGGAAACTCACTTGTGAACAATTAGATATATCTGGCCCACTGCTGCTCACAATTTTTGCCCTATAGTACTGAGGAATATTCTCATCACATAAAATCCTTTACATATTATGGACACTTATAATACAAACAGTAACTTAATTACTCATTAAACTAGAGGACCGATGCATGAAATTCGTGCACAGGGGTGTGGGGATGGGTTGGGGTGGGGAGAGGGAGTGGTGGTGTCCCTCAGCCTAGCCTGCACCCTCTCCAATCTGGGACATCCCTTTCACAGTCCAGGACTGCTGGCTCCCAACTGCTTGCCTGCCTGCCTTCCTGATTGCCCCTAACTGCTTCTGCCTGCCAGCCTGATCACCCCCTAATCACTCCCATGCCAGCCTGATTGATGTCTAACTGCTCTCTGCCAGCCTATTTGCCCCCAACTTCCCTCTGCCAGCCTGGGCACCCCTAACTGCCCTCCCCTGCAGGGTTGATCACCCCCAACTGCCCTCCCTTGCAGGCCTGGTGCCTCCCAACAGTCCTCCATTGCTTGCCTGATCACCCACAGCTACCCTCCTTTGCAGGCCTAGTCCTTCCCAACTGCCCTCCCCTGCTGGCCATCTTGTGGTGGCCATCTTGTGTCCACATGGGGACAGTCATCTTTGACCACATGGGGTCAGCCATCTTGTGTGTTGGAGTGATAGTCAATCTGCATATTACTCTTTTATTAAATAGGATAGAGGCTTGGTGCACAGGTGGGGGCCGGCTGATTTGCCCTGAAGGGTGTCCCGGATCAGGATGGGTGTTCCCTTGGGGTGTGGGTTGGCCTGGGCAAGGGGCCTGTGGTGGTTTGCAGGCCAGGCACGGCCCCCAGCGACCTAAGTGGAGGCCCTGATATCTGGAATTTGTCTTGTACAATTGAAACTTTATAGCTTGGAGTGGAGCCAAGCCTTCTGCTTGCTCTGTGGCTGCCACCATTTCTGTTTGGATTTGATTACAGCCTATAATTGAAACTTTGTTGCCTTGAGTGGAGGCTTAGGCCGGCTAGGGCAGGTGGAAAGCTTGGCTTCTTCCATTGCCTGTCAAACCCAAGCCTCCCTCCTGCTCTCTGGCCACAGCCATCTTGGTTGGGGTTAATTTGCATACTTGCTCTGATTGGCTGGTGGGCATGGCTTGTGAGTTTAATGAAGGTATGGTCAGTTTGCATATTATTCTTTTATTAGATAAGATAATAGAAATACATATTAGATTTTCATTTTTGAGTATTTTTTATTTTGTTAATCCTCACCAGAGAATATTTTTTCCATTAATTTATTTTTATTTTTATTTTTTTAGAAAGAGTGGAAGGGGATGGGGGATGAAAGAGAGATAAGAGATAGAGATAGAGATAGAGAGGTAGAGGGAGGGAGGGAGGGAGGGAGGGAGGGAGGGAGGGAGGGAGGGAGGGAGAGAGAGAGAGAGAGAGAGAGAGAGAGAGAGAGAAAGAAATATCAATGTGTCACATAGTTTGGTTGTCCCCTGGATGCACCCCAATGGGCAGGGGATCGAACCTGCAAACCAGGTATGTGCCCTTGAAGAGTTGAACCTGAGACCTTCCATGCACAGGTCAGTGCTCCAACCACTGATCATCACTTGTCAGGGATAGTTTTTGAGTGTTTATAAAAATAGCTAGAGGCCCGGTGCACAAATTCATGCATGGGAGGTTGTGTTGTGGGGGAGGGACGATGGGAGGTTGGTCAGCCAGGGTGGAAAGGGACCATGGGAGATTGACCGGCCAGGGTTGGGGAGGGACTGTGGGAGGTTGGACGGCAGGCAGAGGGGCTGCAGGTGTTTGGCTGGCCAGGGGATGGACTGTGGGAGGTTGGCTGTGGGAGTGCACTGACCACCAGGGGGCAGAGCCTGCATTGAGCATCTGCCCCCTGGTAGTGTGTGTCGTAGTAACTGTCATAAAGTTTGCTTAAGCTTTATATACACACACACACACACACACACACACACACACACACACACACCGTATTTTTCGGACCATAAGACGCACTTTCCCCCCCCCAGAAGTGGGGGGAAAAAGTCCCTGTGTCTTATGGTCCAAATATAGCCTACACATATACTTTAAAAAAAAAAGTTTTTTTACTTGCCTGGCTCTGTGTAGTCTCTGTGTGCTTGCCCGGCTCTAAAATGGTTCTAAATGCTGCTGTTTACTTTACAGGGTTGATTACATGTGTTTATGACTGTGATGTTGGGTTTTAATGCACATAAAATATTTTAGGACACTATTTGTTTCAGAATCTTTTTTTCTTCATTTCCCTTCTCTAAAAACTGGTGTGTCTTATGGTCCGGTGCGTCTTATGGTCCGAAAAATACGGGGTGTGTGTGTGTGTGTGTGTGTGTGTGTGTGTGTGTGTATATATATATATATATATATATATATATATATATATTTTTTTTTTTTTTTAAATCATCCTACACTGAAAAAGTTATGTTGAAGATTTATGAAAGGTTCTTGTTTACATTAGTAACTAAATCTTTATAAATTAAAGAAGTTTTATTTATTTGGCTGTTGTGGTGCTTACAATCAATGGGACCAGGGGCAGGTAGTTGGCTCCAGTTCAATGCCAAGGTATCCCCAGTTTGTTGTGTGGTGAAGAAGGAAACTTGATTCAATGCAATTCAGCTTAATTGTGATGCACATAGTTGTGAAAACCTCAGAGCTGAGGCAGCCAGGGTGTAGGTTCTTCTCTACCTAGGCAACTCTGTTCTGCTCATATTCATCTACTGTTCTGTGCCAGTCTGCTCTGGCCTGCACTGGCCTGCTCTGGTCCACTCCAGTGAGACATCTTTGGTATTTCAGCTCAACCAGGGAGATACATATTATATATTCATTCTTAGATAGAAAGGGGAAGTGCTCTCTCAGAATCCAAGGAGCTGGCTTGTATAGACAGAAGCTCCTGCCCCTGGTCCCTCATGCAGATGTGGACTCCAAATCCTCACAGTTTGATTGGTCTAAAAGGCACTGTTCTGACTGATCATAATAGAGTTGCATAGCTTCAGTTGGATAGGGAAAGCCTCAGTCCTGTTGGTTGAAATAAGATTCCAGGAATTCCTTTAAAAGGATTGGCACAGGTGGCAGGAGCAATGTATACAGGCAATTTAGTGCAGGCTTCTCCCCAAAGTGCAGTTTGTATGACATTCTCCTGTGTAGAAATGGCTGCTAGGCTCTGTTGTTATTTATTTGTTTTTTTAATTTGAGCCTAGTTAGCCACCAGAAGCCCTTCTTGGTAGTTGTTTTCTTTCTCAGGGTTTACAATGCTTAATAACCATTAAGTTATCCTTCAACCAAGAGCCTTCCAAGTTGAGTAAATCTTAGTTCTTTTGGTTTATTCCTTAGGGGCTTGTTTTCAGATTTGTTAACCATATTTGTCATTGTTTACTACATTCTTTTATTTTTATTGATTTTTTTTAGAGAGAGAGAAACATCAGTTTTGTTGTTCCACTTATTTATGCACTCGTTAGTTGATTCTAATATGTGTCCTGACCAGGAATCAAACCAGAAACCTTGGTGTTTCGGGATGATGCTCTAACCAAGTAAATTACCCAGTCTGGCTTTTACTGCATGTTTGACACCACTTTTAAAAAGCCATGCAGCACTGATTGAAATCCAAGTTTTTGGGACATATGGCATCAAAAAGATAGGAACTAAATTAGGAAAAATTAGACTTTTATCCTTGCTATATCATAAACTTGGTAAGTTAATGGTTTCTATTGATGTATGAAAATAATTTTTAAAGAGAGAACACAAATTAGAATTTCTACATAGGGTTTTCAAGCTATACTTTAGAATCAGTTCAAGGAAAAAAGAGACATCACTGGTGAGAGTGTCTTGCTCATGGACCTATTTTGGAGAAAGTCCCTGAACTGAGGAGAACTCAAGATCCTTTACTCTGAATGTGATCTATGGACCAGCAGTATTGGAATTAACCCTGGAGCTCATTAGAATTGCACTTTCATTTTTAGTTAATGTCCAGGCCTATTGAATAAGGATCTTCATTTTCACAAGATTTCAGTTGATTCATTTGCATTAAAATTCAAGAAGCACAGATGTCATATTGCTCAATGATTTTCCTTTGTTTTGCATTTCTGTCTACTTTATTTCCTTTTGTCATTCCCCAGAATATCCTCTGTTTGTAGTCAGCTCTGGTCATGGCTTAAAACTCTTACTTCCAGGTGCTCTCAGTCTGACAAAATACCCTTTTTAATTTTTACCCCATGAAGATATCACTTCATCAGTTTCTTTCAGTTCTTCAGTTGTGTCTTGTTCTCTTCACTCCCTGGCCTGAGCCACACCAGCACATCAGTTATTTAAATAAAAATACTAAAATACAATTGTGTCTATGAATGTTTAGTGAATTAAAGATTTATCCATTTTTTTAAGGAAAAATAGATAGATTAGCCGAAACCAGTTTGACTCAGTGGTCTGCGGACTGAAGGGTCCCAGGTTCGATTCCAGTCAAGGGGCATGTACTTTGGTTGCGGGCACATCCCCAGGGGGGCGGTGTGCAGGAGGCAGCTGGTCGATGTCTCTCTCATATCGATGTTTCTGGCTGTCTATCCTCTCTTCCTCTCTGTAAAAAATCAATAAAATATATATATTTTTTAAAAAACAAAATAGATTATTTTCATTTGCATTTTCAAAAACATTTTAAGCTATATAAACTTGTTATTGCTTTCTTTTTAAATACTTTTTTATTCATTTTTTAGAGAGAGGAAAGGAGAGGGGGAGAGAGGGAAACATTGATGAGAAACATCAATTTGCTGCCTCCTGCACTCCCCCTGCTGGGGATCGAGTCCACAACTTGGTTATATATCCTGACTGGGAACTGAACTGGTAATTCTTGGTGCATGGGATGATACTCAACCAACTGAACCACTCCAATTAGGCTCATTTGTTTTTAAAGATCTTCTGCAACAGCAGTACATTGACTACTAGTATAATTAAGTAGAAGATAACTATCTGAAAAAAATATTTTTATTGATTTCAGAGAGGGGAGAGTGAGGGAGAGAGGTAGAGATGAGAGAGAATTATTGATTAGCTGCCTCCTCTGCACATCTTACTGCAGATGAGCCCATAACATGGGCATGTGTCCTTGACTAAAATCAACCCAGAACCCTTCAGTATGCAGGCCAACACTGTTTACTGAGCCAAACTAACTAGGGCAGAAGTTAGATATTTTACTTCATCTACTTAGTTTCTACAAAAACCCATGTATTTGTCTTTGTTCTATACACATAGAAAATTTTAGAAATTCAGTTAAAAAAAATAGGACTTTAAGCCTTCCAGTTTATCAGTATGAAGTAATGACTTCAGAAATGGATATATTCACTTTGGCATGAATAGGTACTCAATAGATATTTAGTGGTTTTGTCACCTATATAAAAAGCCAGCAACTGTAATGACATGAATAACTGGTTGCTATGATGCCCACTGCACCCAGTGAACTGGCTGATCAAGAGGTGGGGCTGGTCAGCCAGCCCCCCCATGGCCCCTTGCCCCATCAGGCCCTACCCCGATCGGCCTCTCCCACCCCAATTGAGGGTGGGGTAGCTGGCCAATCCGCCCCTGTGGCCCTTCCCCTCTGGCTGGCCCTGCCCCTGATCGCGGTTCCACTCTGATCAGCCCTCAGCCCCTTCCCACAGCTGGCCCTGCCTCTGATTATAGCCCTTACCCCAATAGGGGATGGGGCTGGCCAGCCAACCTCCTGCAGCTCTTTCCCCTGGCCAGCCCCACCCCAGATGGGCCTCAACCTCCTAAATCAGGGGCAGGGCTGGTGGCCAGCCACCTGCAGCCTTCCTCCTGGCTGTCGCTGGCCCTGATGGGCTCCGCCACTCCGATTGGCCCGTGGCTCCTCCCCCAGCCAGCTCCACTCCCGATCATCCCCCCTACTCCGATCAGGAGCAGGGCCTACTGGCCAACCACTCACGGCCCCTACCCGAGGCTGCTGGCCTCTGATCGGCCTCCCCCCACCCCATTCAGAGGCAAAATCAGCCAGTCATGGGGAAAGGCTGTGGACAGTGGGCCACACCCCCAGTTGGCCACCCCACCCGAATCATAGGCGGGGCCTGCCTGCCAATTGCCTGAGGCCCTTCCACCCAGCTGGTCCACACTGTTTGGGCCCAATTGGGGCTGGCTGGCCAGCTGGCCAACCTCCCACTGTCTCTTTATCCCGACAAGTCCGGCCTCAATCTGTTCCAATTGGTTTTGAGCTGGCTGGATCCCACCTGTGCACGAATTCATGCATTGGGCCTCTAGTGTTAAAATAGGGGTGTCGAACTCAATCAGAGAAGGGGCCAAAATCTAAAATCCAGCCTAAATCGCGGGCCGAATGGTTTACTGAACAGTCATAAACTGACAATGTTAACCAGAAATGTGAATTTAAAATGAGTGGAACAATCTTTTCCTTAACAGTGCTGTTAACCAACTCACATGCTATCAAGGATTTGGCCCACGGGCCTTGTGTTTGACATGTGTGTGTTAAAATATAAAGCTTTAAAAGTATTTTGATGATACAGTATATAAAAATTTCAATGATATGAAGTGTACCAATTTTAAAAGTTATTTCTCATGTTTTTTAGGGTGAGAATCCTTTTAAAATTCAAGATCATTCTCAAGATCAGCAAATAGAAGGAGATGAAGAGGAGGAAGAAAAGATTGGTGAACATATTGAAGAGGAGGAAGAAGAGGAGGAAGAAGAGGAAGTGGGAGAAGTGGAGGGAGTAGAGGAAGTGGAGGCAGTAGAGCAAGTAGAGGGTGTAGAGGAAGCAGAGGGTGTAGAGGAAGCAGAGGGTATAGAGGAAGCAGAGGAAGTGGGGGAAGTAGAGGAAGCGGGGGAAGTAGAGGAAGCGGGGAGAGAAGGTGAAGGAATAGAGGGAGAGGGAGAGGGAGACACTGAGGGGACGGGGGAAGGAGTGGGAGTGGAGGAAGGAGGGAAAGAAGCAGCAAAAGAAGAGCATGTCAGCCTCCCTGCTGACCAACCAGAAAAAAATTAAATATAAGGTATTAGATATAAAAGAAGCTTTAAATTTCTGTTCTAATGTGGAAAAGGGTAAGAATTTTAATAGTTTAAAACATGAGAGTTAACACCCATGTTGCATGCATTCCACACATTAAAATTTTATTTTATATAATTTTTAAATGTTTGGCATTTGTTTTAATAAAATGAAGGTATTAGTTTAGTTTTTATAGTTATCCAACTTAGATTCGATAAATTGTATAATTTGTAAGCTTAATTTTTATTACTTTATTGGTGTTAGGATAACAGATATGCATTGTTAGTATATCTATTCTAATCATTTGAACTTAAATGCTGCTCTTGGGAGTATATATTCAAGTGTGCATTAATGTTTTGAATACTTACCCTGGAAGAGATTTAATTGGGCAAGTATTTTGTGCTCTGTGTATTTTTTTACGGCATTGAACATTGAATAGTAATTTGCGTTAAGATACGCTTCAAGGCTTTTTGTGACCATGTTTCCCTTTGTAGTAATAAAATGTTTTTTTTACAAAAATTCTACCTGGATTAGCAATTTTACATGAAACAGTTCAGCAATTAGATGAGTATTTAAAATCAGGATTTGCCTAATGCATGAGTTCAGCTCACAGGTATTTTAAGATGATTGAGAAGACTTGAATTACAGAAAAAATTTACCTCAATCATATTTTAAAATGTATTACTAAATATTTTTTAATATGTCAAGTAGAGGTCATTCTATAACTTACCTATTTATACTTGCTTTAATTAATTTCATTTCTTGGTGCCTGTGTCAAATCTTGAAATCTTTTTGAAAATACATTTGAATACAAGTATAATTTGGTTAATCTTAATTAAATTAATTTATTAATTTATTTTTTGCTCCAATTATTACAGTTGTTTATCTTTTTTCCCCCCATAACTCCCCTCCACCCAGTTCCCACTTCATCCTCTGCCCTTACTTCCCCACCATTGTCCTCATCCATAGGTGTACGATTTTTGTCCAGTCTCTTCCTACACCTCCCCACACTTTTTTCTTCCCAAGTATTGTCAGTTTATTCCCTTTCTATGCCCCTGATTCTATTATATTCATCAATTTATTCTGTTTCTCAGATTTTTTTATTCACTTGATTTTTAGATTCACTTGTTGATAGAGATGTATTTGTTGTCACTTTGTTGTTCATAATTTTTATCTTTTTCTTTCTCTTCTTAGAGAGTACCCTTCAGCATTTCATGTAATACTGGTTTGGTGGTGATGAACTCCTTTAGCTTTTTCTTGTCTGTGAAGCTCTTGATCTGACCTTCAATTCTGAATGATAGCTTTGCTGGGTAGAGTAATCTTGGATGTAAGTTCTTACTATTCATCACTTTGTATATTTCTTGCCACTCCCTTCTGGCCTGCATAGTTTCTGTTGAGAAATCGGCCGACAGTCATATGGGTGCTCCTTTATAGGCAACTAACTCTTTTTCTCTTGCTGCCTTTAAGATTTTTTCTTTGTCTTTTGCTCTTGGCATTTTTATTATGATGTGTCTTGGTGTGGTCCTCTTTGGATTTCTCTTGTTTGGGGTTCTGTGTGCTTCCTGGACTTGTAAGTCTATTTCTTTTCACCAGATGGGGGAAGTTTTCAGTCATTATTTTTTCAAATAGGTTTTCAGTATCTTGCTCTCTCTCTTGCACCCCCATAATTCGGATGTTGGTATGCTTGAGGCTGTCCCAGAGGTTTTTTACACTATCTTCATATTTTTGGATTCTTTTTTCTTTTTTCTTTCCTGGTTGAGTGTTTTTTGCTTTTTTGTATTTCAAATCTTTGACTTGATTCTTGTGGTCCTCTAGTGTGCTGCTAGGTCTCTGTATAATATTTTTTATTTCAGTTAGTGTATGTTTAATTTCTAGTTGGTCCTTTTTCATATCCTCGAAGGTCTCACTAAATTTCTCAGAGGTTTCTAGAAGATTCTTGAGTAACCTGGTTTTGAACTCTATATCCAGTATTTGCTTTCATCCATTTCTTTCATTTGTGATCTCTTTCTTTGTCTCCACATTTTGGCTGCTTCTCTGTGTTTGTTTCTATGTACTGGGTAGCTGCCAAGTATCCTTGGGCTGATAGAGTGGCTTTGTGTGGTTGGTGTTCCATAGGGCCCAGTGTCTCAGCCGACCCAGTTACATGCGGTGGATAGTCTTGTTGCACCCCTTTGTGGGCTGTTTGCACAGTTTTGTTGTAGTAAACCCTTAATTGCTGTTGGTATCGCTGCGAAGAATTGATCTCCAGGCCAATTGGCTGTGGTGACCAGCTGTGTCTACACTGGAAGAACCGTTACGCAGGAGACACCCTTATGAGGCAGGACTTGCTTCAGTAGGGCTATGGTGCTCACCGAGTCTGCCCCTTGTGTGTGTCGCTATGGATGTGAAGATTTTTAATCTGGTATGATCTCACTCTGACCACTGGGTACACTGGCTCTTGGATCTTCAAGGAGGTACAAGGTCAACCACTGTATGGGGCTTCCCAGCAGGAGCTACAGAGACATCTGCAGATTCCTCCTCTTTGTATGGGGTTTGGAAGTGCCCAGATGAGGCCCAGCTGTGATGCAAGGGCTCCCTGCTGCTGCCAAGTAGTGGGCCTTCTTTTGGAATCTCTGGGGCTCTCTGACCCAGCTGCAGTTTGTTTTAGGTGAAAGAACAGGCCATTCATATGCAAAAGCCCACACATCTTGGGTGGGATTGTAAATTGGGTGGGGTGGGATATCTGGGAAACACAGAGCAGAGCAAACAGCCATGGCTTCCCTGAACTGGAGAAGTCCCTGGTTCTCCACATCCCGTGCCCTCGTGCAGAAATAAAGACTGCTGTGAGAATAAGCCACCCTCTCAATCCTTTCCTGATTCCAGACAGCCCAGTTTTCCCCCATATGTGCCTGGGTCCCTTTGAACAGGAGTTCACAGCAAGCAGGAGCTTATGTCATCCTCCCCGTTTTAAGAGCAGTACATCCAGATGCCAGCACGTGATGAGCCTCTGCAGCTCTTACTGGTCTCAGTGAGCTTTCTTCACCTCTCCAGTTGTGGGACTTCCTTTCAGCCAGCTTTCCTGCAGTTCTGGGTGGTAGTTGTCCTGCCGTTTAGTTGTGTTTTTGATGTGGTTGTGAGAGGCAGCAAGAATAGGTGATAACCTATGTCGCCACCATCTTGGTTTCTCCCATTGTTTGCTTCTTGTATCTCTGATTACACTTTGATATCCATTGTATTTCTGCTGATGGACATAAAATGGCATGTAGTCATGCTGACAGTGTTTTAGTCCATGTGGCAGTTACAGTTCATGTTATAAATCAGCAGCTTGTCTTTAAGGATTGTGGCCCTACTCTGATAGCTGGGTCTCTGGTGTGCAGTCAGGGAGCCTGCACAGCTGAAGGGCAGTCTTGGCAGTGGTAGATTCAGTCTGCACTGCACCCTTTGAGGCCTTTTTGGAAATAGTCATACTAGTCTCTCCAATTTCATTTCCTTTCTGATTTCTCTGGGTTTTGTTTAAAATTTTTTTCTAGAAAAGTTGTATATTAGCAGTCAGGTGAGGTTGTGCTGATGGTGACAGGAGATGGCCTCCCTGGTGACTGGGAGTGTGGAAGGGTACTACAGGAGTGTAGTGATGATTGTGGCAAGTTCTAGATCTAAAGGGCATACTGTATTCAAGTCATGAGTCTGAAGCTCTGTTAAAATCACAGAAGACATATCAATAAGAAAATAATAGCAATGAAGGTAATTCTTAACCACAGTAGAAATACAACAGGGGTGCTGCAAAGCATTTCTAGAAGATATAGTCAAACAGAGAGTACCACAGGCACAAGCAAATGAAAATTAAGGAATTTTTTTCCATTTTAGAGGAGCTCTGAGAGAAGTGGCTACAGTTTGATAAGCCACATTTTAAGGACTGAACAGTTGTCAGTCCCTGGCTTGGAGTTGTTGGTATATAGTGTTCCTCTAAGCTAACGCCATAATATAGTTTGTTGCTTGCCAAATAGAGTGAGACTTCTAATATAGTTGTTTCCCAAAGCATATATGGGGGCCATCGAAGTGCGGCAATGTCGTAGGTGTCTAGTGGGTACTATAAGGAACTTTGATTTCTAATACTTAGAAAGCAGGCAAATAAAAACTTGGTGGCTGTCTAGTTCCCATTTTTCCTACTGACTGCTCTTCTCTCATTCCTCGCACACTTAAGATGATGGTCTGTGTGATCAAAATCTGCTAGGGAATTTCACTCAAACAGAAAAACTTCAGGAAACAGTATTGAAAAACCTAGTAATTGGCTGACTACCATCTGTACGCTTCCCACTGCCTGTTTTTGTACGGATTTTATATTTTTAAAGGGTTGTAAAAAAACAAAGAATATGTGACAGATACTTAATGTGCCCGTCAAAGCCTAAGATACAAACTGGCCCTTTACAGAAAAAGTTTGCTGATCCCTAAGGTTCTCATTTACCAATAGAGATAGGCAACCCAGAAGCAACAAACATTAAGGAAAAGAGCCACATGGAAGATAGGCAGTGAACTTAAATAATTCCTGGGGAAACTATGAAGGAAAAAAAGAGAACTTTTAGAGTAAGGATAATTAGTATTATCCTAATGTATAAAAAACCCAGGGTCTGCAATGTCCAAAATGACTGAAGGCTCTACCAAACACCAGGCTGTGCGTGCTTCAAATGGAGACTGGTAAGGGGGCTGAACTGCTGACCTCATGGAGAGAGAGAGAGGGGCAGGGCTGATCAGAAGCTGCCATGGCTACTGGCGAGGCCCTCTCCAAGAGTTCATCAGTTCAGCTCGCTCACCAGCAGCCTGGAGTGGCTGCTGATCCGGTGTGTCTCTGATCAGGCCTGGAGATGCTGACTGGCATAGGAACTGACCAGTCAGAACCAAATCTGGCTGAACTATGGGGATCCAATGGCTGCCTAGAAGGCAGACCTTTTGATGCTGACTGGCATAGAAACTGACAAATCAGAACCAAATCTGGGTGAACTGCAAAGAGCCAATGACTGCCTAGGAGGCAGAGATTTTGATGCTGACTGCCATAGAAACTGACCAATCAAAACCAAATTTTGGTGAACTGCGAAGGCAGAAATTAAGGTGGGGGCTGAGGAGGGGGTTTAAGGGAAACATCTATTTGGTGTAAAGTGTAAGAAAGCGGTTCAATTTTTTAATGACCAGTTTGACAGTATAGTGCATGTGGCTAGCTATCTGCCAAGAGGATCTCCTGCTGAAAAAGGCTTTTGCCTCTCATTTAAGCAATTCCATATAATCTATGTATACTAATAAAAGGGTAATTTGCTAATTAGACCTGTGGAGCAGCCATCTTCTGGAGTCCAGCCATCTTCTGGACAAAGCCATGGTGGTGGAGGCTGACGCAGAGGCAGTTAGGGGCGATCAGGCTGGCAGGGGTGGGCAGTTGGGGATGAGATCAGGTTGGCAGGGGAGGGCCATTGGGGGCAAGATCAGGCTGGCAGGCAGAGGTAGTTAGGGGCAATCAGGCTGGCAGGGGAAGGCAATTGGTGACA